TTCTGACTTCAATATTGGTTGACAGATAGTTGTTTTGAGTTCCAGATGTTGTTCAATTGTAGGAATGCTGTACTCACTTATCCGATTCTTACATTCACGTCTGCATCAAACCCACCTTGTGTCATCGATGATGCTGACCATTCAGTTACGTGAAAGTTTCCATCTGTTCCAGAGTCTCTCCATCAAGTGTGATTGGGTTGGTGTACACCGTGTTGTGTTTTTAGGATCTTGCTTTTTTCTTTGTGTATGCTGAGGCCTACTGATGCAGAGGCTTACGCTACATTGGATTTCTTCACATATATTTGTTCGTGTAAATGGGATAGAATTATATAAACAACAATATCAATATATTCTCAAATAACAGTTTGTTACATGAGGCATGCCAGTCTATACGCAATATCAATTTGTGACAGACGTTACGATTTTCACTGTAGTAAATTAATCAGCTAGGTTGATATTTGATAATAGATGAATGTAGATGGTTTTCGTAAGAAACGCAGTGTCAATATCCCAATTGGTGCGCTTTATGAAAGTTGCGTCTCAACATGCGACTGATGGTCGAGAATAGATGCATGTAAAGTTGGGAGGTTCTAAAAACAGTAACTTTATACCCGCTGGAATATCTGAGGCTTTAATAATGGTGAAGGACGTAGTCACCTGTTACATATCTATTTTCTGTAGCGTACGTCATGGGAGTTGAAAAGAGGTGTAAGTAAAAGAAGGGACAAGAAGCAGAACAGACCTTGTTCGTGGGGGAATAGCCAAGGTATAATTACTCAGTCTATTCCTCTGGTATTAAGGTACTTATTAAACAACAGCATTCTAATAAGTTAAAGAAAACAAGTGTAAACAAAGTGTGAAGGGATAAGGAACTGTATAAATGAAGATGGCTCAGAAAGAAGCCGAAAGTATGGGATTATGTGTAGTTATAAAAATGCATTTCCCTGTATGACTCCATTAGTAATTGGTCTACGTGATGAGAGACAGTCATTGAACTGCACCATTTCTTTACGTTCCGCTAAAAATAAAACAAACAATGAGTAGTATGGGTTGTTGATTCCGAAGGGTCGTTGTTTGATTAGAAGCTTTTGTGTGGGGCCTTATTAAAAGCTTACTTAAAGTTTGAAAATAGGACTGATACAAGGCGTCCGTTGTGTCATTTCATAGCCATATCATTCATGTAGACTACTAGGTATGTACCATATGATCTGGACCTAAGAAATCCATGCTGGGAGGGCGATATGAGATTAGTAGTAATTAGATGATGGACTACTGCAACCCTAACTACCTTTTCCATCACTCTAGAAACCACAGAAGTTATTTTTGTGAGTCGGTAATTTTCAACAGTCGCTTCAGGTCCTGTTTTAATTTTGGGAGTGATATGTGTAGTTTTCCAGGCAGTAGGGTAAAACGTTGTATCGCAAATAGTTTCAGAAGTAAAACACACACATCATCAGCATGCTAGCCGGAATACCATTTGGTTCATCAGTGTAGGAGTGTTTCAATGTACTAATTGTCTTAGAGATGTTTTGTACATTAAAGTCTACACCAGTAATTTCACTGGGAAGTGCCGGGATTAGTTCTGAACTATTTAGTAGTTTTTCGTCAGTTAATGAGAAACAAAAGTGTTCATCGAATAGTAACAAGTTTAGGATCTTCGTACACTTGTTTGTCTTTAATAAATATGTCCCCTCTCAATTTAGAACGTTTACGTTTATTTTGAAAGAGTATGGTGAGCGCAGAGGAGTTATAATTATGTTCGACAGCACGTTTTTCACGCTCGACTGTTTATTGTGTACTTATTGCCTCTGTTCGGAAAAGTATTTTTGTCATCGTTGATAAAGAGGAAAAGTCGTTAAAAATGTGGAATTGAGTAAAATGTCTTTGAAAACTGCTTCGTGTACCAATCAGTGCATGCACATCTTTAGAGAACTTAGGTCCCCAGTATTCTAAAGGTGCGATTTTGTAGATGATACTTCTGATGTTTTGATAAAATATATTGGTTAGTGTGTTGGTATTGTTTGCAGTAAAGAAAGTTCCCCAATCAGTGCTTCTTAGGTAATTATAGAAGTCATTCCAGTCAACCTTAAGATAGTTTCTACGAAGTGCTACAGTTTTACGTTTGCCGGTTGTGGTTTTTATATTAAGGCCACGTATGACAATTTTATGATCACTACCTGGAAACGTTTTTATAATATATACAGTATTGGGGGTGAGGCCACTGGGAAAAACCAAGTCCAAGATATTTCCATGTCTGGTAAGGCCAATGACATACTGAGTCCACTGTCCTAGTTCTAGACATTAGATAAATGACTCATAACTTTCTGGAGCTTTGAGTGGAAACCGAGGAATTTCTGGCATGTTGAAGTTACCACAAATGAGCTTGATTGTGAATGGGAGAGATGATGCTGGCGTTAATACCTCTGGCCATATTGTTATTTCACCTACTGATGCTTTAGATTGATGGTAGACGCAGCCGAACAGTAAGGTAATGAAATTCGATGGCTTTAAAACAAACCGCACCGAATCTTTCAATTTTTTCAGTCTAGGCATATCATATGATAGTGAGTTTAAGCCAGCGTTAGCGTAAATAAAGCATCATCAGCCTCGTGCTTTCAATTTATCACTTCTATATAGGAAATAGTTATCAAGTGATATACTTATGTCTGAAATATCACTGATATTCCAGGCTTCAGATATCATTATAAGCGATGGTTGATATATGAATATAAACACGGCTAAATCCGTCTTTTTATTGCAGATCGACAGTGGTCTGGAAAAATCTGGGGATTGAATCGACAGAAAATTCTCTTGAACAAAACTTTTTGATACGGTTATCACATGTGCCCTGGTGAAACATTCTCATGGGGTTTCACGTATACTCATTGTGAAGGTGACGTCGCGAACCTCCACTATATCCCACCCTTAGGTTAAAGCGGTGACGCAGCTATAGTCCTTGATTTCCGTATAGTTTTCAGCAAAAAGCATATGCCAGACCAATCCAGACCTAACGCTTAGGAAAAAAATGTGGAAGATATTATACAATCAAAATCCGCAGTAGGTTGGACAAAAGAGTTCGATTCCCAATAGAAACCTCTTGAGATGTATCTAGAAATTTGCACTTACAAGTCACCACACCTTACATTCCTTGGACTACACCAAGGGGTATGGGAAACTCTACATCGTGGTTCAATAGGAAGATTCTAAATCTACACTGTATGAGGAGAACAATGTGGGAGAGATTTAGGTCATTGGATGCTGGCGAGACAAAATCTCAATATCGAGAATCTCGAAGTATTTATATCTTGACTGTCTGCAAGTCTAGAAGGCTGTACGAAGGAAAACATGTTGAGGAATTTATAGAATTCTCTAAGAGCTTATATTGGTAAGCAAACCAGAGAACTAAGAAAAAGGGAAATATTTCATCATTATAGGGACAGCAGTTCCTCGTCATGAGTAGAGGACGACTATGGTAAAGCTCAGGTATTTTCAAGTTATTTTAGCAATGTATGTACTATAGAGACACCCTTCCCTTCTGTTTATACAAGCATTCAACACATACATTTGACACTATCACCATTAAGGGACTCAATGTCTTTGATCCGTTAAATGAGCTTCATATAGGCAAATACACGGGACCCGATGAATTTCATCCTAGGTTACTAATGGAAACCACTAATTTCTTTGAGAACCCCTTAAGTACATGTTTCAATCTATTCGTAACCCGAGGTCGATCATTATAAGACTGAAAGAAATAATAAGTCCTGTCTTCAAAACAGGTAGGTAACATAAACCTGAGAACCTTCAACCCATAAGCCGGACTAGCCTAGTTGTTAAAATTGTAGAAAAGATTTTTCGGAAGGAGTTGTTTATGTGTCTCGACAAAAGTCGGATTCTTCCTCAATAGCAACATGGCTTTAGAACAGGTCACTTCTGTCTTACTAACTTATTAGCATCTCATGAAACTTGGTGAGGTCTCAAGGACTTAAAGAAGTAGCCTAAACTGAATTCAGTAAGGCTTTTGACAGAGGTCCTCAAAACCGGATATTGCACAAGTAATATCGAGATGGGAGGCAGTTTACTAATCTGGATAAAAGACTTCCTAGTTAGGCACAAACAAAGAGTACAGGTAAACTCAAAGCTGTCTGGCTGGGAAGCTGTGCCTAACGGTGTACCTCAAGATAACATTTTCATGGCAGTGTTGCTCCTCTCGTATGTAAATGACCCTCCAAGTTTCCTATAATAATCCGTTCCTGTTATTTATTGACAATGTCAAGATATGGAGAACGATAAGAAGTGGAGGAGAAAGTTTAGATGTTCACAATGACTTGGAGAAGTTATCTGAATTATCTAAAGTTTAGTAGTCCCTGATAAATGCTCCCCGATATTCATTATGATGCATATTAGTCACAAAGTACAAATAAATACGCGGTGAATAATGTTAAGCTGCCTGTCGTCCAAGCACAAAATGACCCAGGACTCATCGTTAGTCAAGACTTAAAAACTACTGCGCATTACCGTGAGATAGCTGCCAAATGTTTTAGAATCCTATGGTCAATACGCATAGCCTTTATCCATGTAGATGCTAAAACATTTTCGACTTCGTAAACAGTATTCGTGCGTCCTTAACTCAAACATTGCATATACATGGTCAGCCTTTATCTAAAAAGAGACAATGAGATAATAGAGAACGTTCAAAGAACAGCAGCTAAGCTGATTCTCAGAATAATAAAGCTCTGATTGACCTAACAGAACAGGAGGGGACTTGACTACAGATCTTAAACTACCTTATGATAAATTTGCACATGATATACCCCATTTTGCCTCAACACTTGATTGAAGCTCCATCTACTGACACTCTTAAAAGATATTTGGATTGACTGAGAGACCACTGTTGTCATGACTAACACAGGCTACCCAGCCACCTGTCCTTTTCAGACTGAAACTGAATTGTTTGAGTACGCCAAGCTGTTGAACGTTTTTAATTTTTTAATTCAAAACTTGTCGTTGTCATGGTTATCTCTTCAGTGACTGTTCCGAAAAAGACTTCGTCAAACAAGCTGAAGAATTTGTTTTCAAAAAACATAAAAAACCCGGATGACGTTAGAGGTTTGTAACTTCTAATGTTATTTGAGGATGTGAGGAATTTCTAAATTTTCCAATGCTTGTCCAAAGTTAAATAATCCATAGCTGAGTACTTTCAACTCCATTATAAAAGTAAATCTTGAGACTCAAGTGGCATTAGACTCTCCATCATGTTAGTTGATTATCTCATGAAGCATGTAATAAATTAAGTTTTCTTAGTGATTTAGAAAACTAACGAAAATTTCGGAAACAGATTGTGTTTTTTACGATATCATGATACTAATTTTTTGTTGCTACTTCACGATTGCTATTTCATCACTGTTACTGAGAGGCGAAATTCTTACAACTTATGCAACAAAATACCCGATAGACTGAACGTTTGAACTTCTAATCTGAAGTATTTATATGAGCATTTGTGTAGTTATGCAGTACTAAGAAAACAGAAGGACCCTTTAATTGTAATTTTTCGCGTTACTCTTTTGAAGGAAAAATATAAGAATGTTAGAATGCATCTATCAAGTGAGTTGTAATCACTTGTTAGCGTCATCTGTATTAGTATACGACCATTAGTGCCCGTTTGACTCCGGTCCAATCGAACGATTATAAATGGTAATGAAATGTAGATCCTGATTATTTGATCTATATTCTATCGACTTAACAGGTTTAGAACAACAAAATATCAAAAGCCGAGTGTGAGAGTGATTTTGAACTGATATATATCGAACATCTATCAGTAAATACAGAAGGTAAGAGATGTGAATCAGAGGAGACCAGGTCTACTTGATGAATTATGGATAACTCACATTTTATATGAAAAATGACAACGTAAAAATTATCAACAACCAGTGACAGCGAGAATGATAGACATGCATAAAGCAAACACATATAAAAGCTTATATGATACAATTACCAAGCTCACAAATGACAATGTTTAAAGGTAGATCATAAAGTACCTGCCTAGATTAGAATGACAAAACGGATCACCAAAACGATGCGATTAGAGCCGTTGTAGATTTTTCAAAAAAAGCCTACTTATTTGTGAGTTTTCTATGTCACTCCCCAATTAAAGGTCTCTTACTCTATGAAAAGCAAAGTATTTTAATATTTTAACGCCAGTCGTAATTCAAGACAGTGATATGTAACATGTAATGATATTTTAGCTCTCTAAAGAATCAAGTAACGATTATCCATAACTCTAAGATCTCAGAAGTAAACATGTTAATTTAAACTGCTAGATGCTCGCCAGCAAAGTCTAGGAACCAAGATGCCATGAGTATTTGCGATGTACCCATTTTGTATGACTTTTTACAAGTAAAGTTAAGTAAATTTTTAAATGATTCACGTTTGAACCTTATGGTTTTTAATTTCAATATTTCGATTCTTTTAGGAAATGTGAAATATGTTGACATTCAACTACTCGAACAAACTGTTAATCATCGGGGTATACCTTCAGCTAAGCCGACTTATTACCAAAGAATATCTTGTAACACGCTGATGATAGGTTAGTAAATTACCATACAAAATAATTAGTTTGAAATCTAATTTCGCTGACGTTATGTGCCACATTCAGTTTATTCTTTAGACAAAGACGCTTCGATCATAAAAGAAATTTATTTTTGGGTTGTTTACATTCATTCTCAGTCGCCTGATCAAACTGTATTTTTTCTCGAAGGAAATAAACAGGTGGAGATATCAGTCTGAATTCTTCTCTGATGACTTACCTAAGTTGATGATCTTTTTCATGAAGATGACTAAGTTGCTTATTTATCTTCAGCTTTTCACTAAATTTATTCTTTAGGCTTACTTATATCTGATCTTCTTCATATAACTGAGTGACTAGAAATTTGGTTATTTGGAAAAAAATAACCGTTTTTGTGATTCACAAATGCTATCGAAAAAAGATTTTGTAGAGATTTCAGTGTTTTCATGCTTGAAAGCGTTAGTAAATTGTAGCTAGACCACTGCCGAGGAATCCCACAATAGGAAGAAACGGCCGTCCAGTGCTTCCAGGTTTTCCTTGGTGATCTAGCTTTAATTGACCCACGCTTTCAACTATTCAGAAATGTAATAATCAACATTTATCAATGACAGTTGTATTATATTACTAGCTTGATAAAGCGAATAGAAGCGAAAAAGGTCTGGGGCATAAAAGGCGAATAGTGTCAGTGACAGGGAGGTGATAACTTGTTCATTTTTTGTTAATAGACGAAACTGTAATCACAAGAACATTTTTTGTAATTAGTATTTCCTCGTGAATTTTATTATTGTCTGACTGATGGTTGAAAAACTCATTTTCTGATTTCTCTGAATACCAGGGTCATTTTAGGTTACCAGATGAATATAGTAGTTCAACCTTGATTTTATCTTCATTAAATACCAAACCTTATTTTACATTATTTCCTCCTATTTTGAGTTTTGTCATTGGGGCTTTATTGTTGGTGGGTCGTGCGTCGGCTTCCTTATTGACTTCACGACTGAGTGCGATCGTATTAAAATAACTTTGATCGTTCATAAATAGCAGTTATCATAGTCTGAATTGAATAAATTGGAAGATTTACTGATTAGATATTGAATGTCTAAAGATATCATTTAAAAAGGTTACTTTAAACATGTTCTTTTTCATAAAATCTGAAATGTTAGAGCACAACGAAAATACAAAACTTACCCAGTGCCTTTTTTTATGACAATGTTTCGAATGAGATCAAGGTTGATCTCTTACATTTTCCCTACCAAAACACCATTTCTATTCAACAGGACCGTTGGATTAATGCTTCGGACCAGTCAGTCAATTACCAGAGACTTTGTAATTCTGTGTCACACTTTTAGTTAGTTATAAATTTGCAACTAAATAGAATAAAAAATAGTTGTTCAAATTTTTTTATCTAATTTCAGTTCCGTGACAAAATAATCTTAGAACCTCTGAAATCGGAGAGGTAACATGAACCATTTTTATTAACTAAAATTTATTTATTTAACGAAGTTTTAGTGCTGAAGTTCTCACACAAATCATGTAGTAAATGATTGTTCCTCTTTAATGATCAGATGGATTCCAAGCAAACAAATTAAAACGTCCTACAAATCGTTATTTAAGTACAAACTTAAATAATTACAAAAAAACACCTACACAATTGAATTGTTCTGTTGAATCATCATTATCATGCACACAGAAAAATAAAAGCAGCGAACAAGTGAACGAAGATGTGAATAAGACATCGAATCATCATCATCACCAACAACAACTTCAACGACAAAAATTAAATTCATGTTCACTACCACGATCATCGTTATCACTATCCTCGTCTTCTTCACTTTCATCGTTTACACTAAAAGGATCTAGAGATTCAATCAAACTGAGAAATACAGCAACAAAATTAACTGCCACTAATTTGTGCTCAAAAGATACATTGATGAAAAATAATGAAAAAGATAGTAATAAATCATCCAAAAATAACTATGATTTATTGAATGCTGAAGACATTTTATCAAGTGAAATGTCCACTGTTTTCATGAAAGATGATAGTGTCAAAAAGCAAACAATCCTATGTTATGAACAGTAAGTAATGATTTGGTTATCCTAATACCTTTATTATCGTTCTTTTTTAATGATTCACAGATAGAATAGTGAACTGTGAGAAGTCAGCTTTATTTGGAGAATCTGATTAAGATGGGAAAATGTTTTTGTTACGTCCTTGATCTGTCTACCCACTTTCGTGCCGAGGATAACTTGTCTAATGTAGATAAAGACCTTGACGCGATAGGCTGACTGGCTTAACTTTGAGACTAGTATGCGTGAGTTCGAAGTGGGGTAGAAAGAAGAAAACTATTATATCCCCGATTGTCTGACAAGCACACAGGAGAGAGAAGACAAGACAACTGGAACACTACTCGCTTTATTCCAATCCCGATCTGGTACCCCATATTCCGAATTCAGATTAGTGTAAAAAGATACATGAGTAAATAGATGTCTAACCTGAACACAACGTACAATAATTAGGAAAATACGATTATGTCCAAAACTGCAGGGTTAAAGTAGAAAGTAGAATACAAAAGGTCACGTCTAAATTACAATAGCTTTGGAACAGAAAAGGCTATGACAGTGAATCATACATCAAACGAAAGCTTATGATCTGTAGAATAGACTAGGGGTAAAATTAAATATTGCAGTCTTATAATCCTTGAGTTAAATGAAATAACGTCCCTAAAAATAGCTTTCGTAGTTTGTCAAGGCTTCTTGTTTCTCTGTTCACATCAGTTTTCCTTGTCGATCAACGGGATATGTAGTGAACCAAGAGGTTGATTTGTCTTAGTCTCAGAATACTAGAACAAATGACTTTCATATGAATTGAAAAGATAATCTTTGCATATCTTAACGAGTAAATTATCGTTCAGTTAAACTGCTAAAATTTAATTGTAGGTACTTTTATAGTTTACCTACTGAATGGATACGGTGCAATTATTCCTTAATTTCACTGTTACATTTCTGATAGGTTTCCCCATTTCTAAAGCTAATGACCATTTTAAAATTATGGCTGAAGCGTTACGATGAAGTTTGGGCTGTTCTTATATTACAATACTATGTAAATAACTTAACACTACCAAAATTTAAGATAAGTTCCAATAATATTTTTTAGCCTCACCCTTGGTTTTTTAAGGGTTATCTATTATTCCGGAGACACATTTTCAGTGATGTAACACAAAAATTACCAAAAGTTTGGTCAATCTGAACTTATTAGTTTCAGAAGGATAGCCAATACTACAATTCAACTGATCAGTATAACTAAGTTGTCTTGAATATGAAGGGCATTTAGAATTTTCAACTATTAATCAGGTCAAGTTATTAGAATCGTGCAACATTTATATTTATCCATGGAAGGGATCTTTGTAGGCTTTTGACATAAATATAGATCCAAGTAAACATTTGATTAATCTGGTGGTTTCCGCACAAATCAGTGATGTCGTGAATTTACATATAACCATTTACATTTAATTAAACTATATATCTCTTGATTAGTAACTTTTTCCCATCGAAGATATTGAATGAGCTGTAACGAAACAGTTATAAGTTTCTAAGATAGGTGAAATCATTTAACACCACAAGTCAATATGATTAAAATAACTATTAAAAGTTAGGGGAACTCAGATAACTATTTTTAACTAAATGTTAAACATGCTAGAGGTTAATAATTTAAAAGTCTAATCCAAGAATAAAATACTTGTAAATAAATCTTAGACTTTGAATATTTCAACTAAGGAATTTTTTAAAGTGCATGATTGAACCGTTCATGTGTGTGTATACATATACAGTAGTGTGGTCTACTTACATCCATATAAGTAGTATATGGCAATGGTCAGACATAGAATGTATTTTGGCAGAAGACTGATAAGGAAAGAACTGAAATGAAGCGCAATTGGTAGGAAAATGCATGAACAATAGAATTAGAAAAGATGAACTGATATTTACTGAAGGAACAGTGAAGCTGAGACAATTGATTGTTATTTTGAAAATTAACTGTTTTCTGTATGATTATCAGAATTTAGTGAGATAGTCTATAATTTGTGTTTAAATTCATTCGATTGTCCCCAACCGGTGTTCTGTTCACTACAATACACTTGTTTACAATTGTGAACAGAGAGTACTGATTCCTAGAGTATAAGTAAATCAATATTACAGAAAGTATCATTATCCTAGTTACATGTATTCCTTTTTAATCATTTATTGTGATGTAAATGTCGTTATTCAATCCCCGCCCCCAATATTTTCTTTTCTTCTTTTCATAGAATGAACTTAAAAACTTGTCCAATCATTGATTCAAATGAAATATGTCACTTTTTAAGTCTTCAATATAATCAAATTCATCGAATTGTACATTTACACCATCTTACAAAACTTGTTTATTTAAATATATCAAATAATCAATTAACAACAATGAATGGTCTTGAAACTTTATATTCTTTACGTATATTATTATTAGGAAATAATCAAATTAAACAAATTTGTGCTCTAAACAATCTATATAACCTTAATGTACTTGATTTAAATCATAATCAAATTCAAATAATTGAAAATTTAACACATTTAAAAAAATTATATTGTTTAAATTTATCATTTAATTATATTACCACTGTTAATGGTTTATCTGGATTAATTTCATTAACTGAATTAAATTTAAAACATAATAATATACTACTTATTGAACCTATTGATAATGTTCCAAAATTAATTTGGATATTTTTAAGTTTTAATCATATTAAAAGGTATATTTCTATAATTATTTTCTGTAATAATTTTCGATATATTATACATATTAATTTGAATAATGATAAAGTATTACTTATTGTTAAAATAGATATTGGTTGAGGTCCGCATGACTATCATAACCAATGGTTGGAAATTCTAGGTGACATGGCTCAGAATCGATCACAATGGCTTAGGTTTATACACTCTTTATCTTCCTTTAAACCTTGAGATTAAAATTACTTCAAAACTTTGTTTCTTCCTATCCTATATTCTTATATACAACCTATCTTTTATATATTACCACCACAAAATTAATTACTTCTATGAATTTGATGTTCGTCTTGTTGTGCTAATGAGGTATGGCAAATTGGACCGATGCATATATATATAACTGGTCCTACGTTGTAGTTGATTGACTGATTGAATATTAAAAATTGTTGGTTAATTGTTTGATCTTACTAGAAATAATTAAAAGTTCATTGAGGTGAGGTATATTTCTAATGAATATCTAAACTATCAATTTAAAAATTTGGTACAATAACTTTAAAAGTATACAGATCTTTTTTCTATCATATTTGATCATTTATAAGTTGATACAACAAAAATAAAATTATAAGCGAAGATAAATAGTGGCTATCAGTGGAATCCAGAACACGCGTTTCGTCCTATATGGAACAAGTCAGCTAGATGTGCCTACATTTCAGAGTTGATGTTCACTCTGGGACTTGAACCCACTACCTTCAAATGCCATCGCGTTATCAACTCAGCTACTGAGTCCTGATAGCTACTTGCTTGTGCAATGCGGTGAAGTTTAAATTCACTTAGTATTGTTTGTTTGTATTTTGCCATTGATGTTTAGGACTGCAACTGGTCAGTCTCTTATTAATTACAATGAAATAACTATGATATAGTATCTGACTTCTTACATTTTGTTCAACTGAAACTGACTTTTTTAAATGAAACTATTTTCCATCTTCAATACACAATAATCAGGTTAAATCGGTACTGTCCAACTTAAGGACTTTCATTTTACGTATAATTTATTTAAATATTATCGATTTGTGCTCATTTCTTCTCATTCTAATGACTTCATATTTCATAGTTTGATTCAGTGAAATACTCTGTAAGTAATTTAATTGGGCATGATATTCTCACAGTTTTTGCCTTTTTTTATTTCTATAAAAGAATATGTAAAACGTTATACACTTGTAGGACATTATTAATACATCAGAAGATTTGAATGAATAATGATGATGATTTGATAGAGTTGTAAAGTTTTGTCTTTTGACATACTTTATGAAGATATAAATGTTGGGTTTTGGAAAATCATACTTCTTTAAATACTCAGATGTAATATCTAATAGTGAGAAAAAATTCATCATAAAATGGGGTAAGTATTATGATTGAATGAACTGAAATGATTACAACCAATGGATTTCATTCAATAACGCAGATGGTTAGAGAATAACAAAAAATTTTGTATTGTTTTCTTGAATCTTCACATTGATGTTTAGGACTACAGTTGATCAGTCTATTATTGGTCATATGTACATGCTGTGCATATTGCCTGAAGTCATAAGTATTATAAGCGATGATGGTGGCTAGCAGTGGAATACAGGATTCCCGTTTCGTCGTATGTGGGACACGTCAGCTCGATGTACCTGCATCCCAGGGTTGATGTTCACTCAGAGACTCGAACTCAATATAGTTCGCTTTAGACGTTATAACGTTATCCGCTTAGAGAATAATGATGTTTTTCTTCCCCCTACTACACATACATTACCATCTATATCACTGAACAGGAAGAATATCAGAAGATAATAACTGGCCTGTGATTGTGAAGAATCATTACCCCGTGATAATATGATTTCATGCACATGTGTTAAAAGCAACCGAAATTTATAGAGGAAAAGTGATTCAAAGAAGTCTAACGATTGCTCCAACAATATGTTGATGAAACCCTTTCCTTTAAAAATGCTTAGACAATTTTCTAATCTCTTCTACTTCTGTATTTTACAAACATGCAACATTCGTCTTTCGATTCTTACATAACTACTATAATACTGACCTTTCATCAAAATAGTTTATTAGTTCCTTCTTTTTATATATTATTCAACGTAGCAACTGTTTGATTTTTCGAATAATTACTTTGGTTACTATAATCTTCTTTCTTTCAGTTACTCAATATTATTTTATGATCAATGGATCACTATATAATAGCGTAATGTAACTACTCGATGAGTATTATTGCATTTTAATAGTTGAGATCATGAATCACTTGAAGCTAGACCACTATGGAAAACCTGGAAGAACTGGACGGCCGTTTCGTCCCATTGTGGGACTCCTCAGAAGTGCGCATCCACGATCCCGCCCTGCAAGATTGGAACCCAGGACCTATCAGTTTCGTGCGCGAGTGCTTAACCTCTAGACCACTGAGCGGGACGGCATCCAACGGTGTTAATATCTAACTTCAACCGATCCACAGAATTTAGCGACACATTCACCAATGTCTTCAGTGAGTTATTAACTTAGAGCAGACCTGGTTGAACTCCACTGGTCACTGCTTCTCACTAGAACTCCAGGAAATATCTCCTGGAGCCAGTCATTAGTGAGCATACGTTGATTAGTATCAGAAGGGGTTTTGTGGATATTATAGGAATTTTAATAGTTGAGGTCATGAATCGCTTGAAGCTAGACCGCCATGAAAAACCTTAAAGCACTGGTCTAGATTCAAGTGATTCATGATCTCAACTATTAAAATTACTATAATATCCACAAAACCCTCGTGGATTTTTTATTAAATTTTAAAATGAGAATTTTCAGTAGCTAATAATCTATCCAGTAAATTTATTCAAACAACTTCATAGTATGCATTTAAATCAGAAGCTGAAATTTCTTGATATGTAGTTATATATATAGTTAGGTTTCTTCTTACTAATTTACTGACTGATAGGCTTTACTCAATAACAAACAAAACATTTGGAATGAAATTGGTATTCATCCAACAATTAGTTTGTTCATGTAATCAAATGGATATTATATGAAACTGTCTGTTTATTGCACATGAGTCTGCTAAGATTACATATGGTGCAACTTACTACACTTTTCCCTTATTTGATTTTAGTTGGTCACAGATTAGTGGTCTAACCAATTTAAATTTATGTGCTCAAGTTACTCTGGATGGAAATCCAATTGTATTTGATCCAACTTATCGGAAGATGATATCAAGTGATAAAAGATTTTTCAAAGACAATACAACTGTTTATCCGTTAAAAGTAAGTTCTTACTAATCGTGCTAATCGATGATTTCGCTTTTTTTAAAATAAAGGCTAGTTTGCCATAATGTATAGATTAATTCTTGAATGTAGGCTAACATGTGGACTGAGTTGAAGGAATTTACTCTCCAAGAGAGTTTACAGCTTGAAATGGTCGTCCCACGTACGTTCAATGAGAAATCGTCATTTTTGTAGTAAATATTTCTTGTAACTCAACTTTCGCGCTGTCAAGTTTCCTGTATTGTTGTACAATATATATTTATCAATTCTAAGTATCTCGGGGACTAAATGTAAACATTTTTTATTGAGTTCTTAGTCAGCTACAAGCTACCTATCATGATATTTTAAATTTCGTCTGAAAATTCAAGAGCACTAATCTTAAATTCGATTTGTTCGTCAGCCTAATATAGTTACCCCAATAGTTATTCTATATTTGTTCTTTGCGTTTTCAAGTCGATTCAATATTTATTTCCATCATATAATGAGTATAATACGTCTAAAATTATTTTAGCAAGCATAGCTTAAATAAACGTTCTCAGAATAAGATATAATCATGTCTATTTCCATGGCATTTTACCAGTCGGATACAACCTCAAGAAGTAAGTGCGTCAATTTCAACAATATAAAATAGTAAGTATAATTCAATTTGAAATAGTTTAGATTATCCTGTTGTTGATATTTTTGATTGGGATCTAGTTCGTAGTAAGCATACTTTAAATATAAAGTATTACAATCTTTAGTCCATTATATACCAATACAAAATATTAACATAAGCAAAAATGGAGATATATATTTAGATAATTCAATGTAATAACAAAGTTATGTGATAAATTAAGGCGATGCATTTCGAACAATCTGATTAGATATTCATTTGTTATAATGTTGATATCCAAAAGAAAAGGTCAAGATGAATGAATGAGGGCACAGGACCAACAAAAACAGCAAAGAGGACATAAACCACAAAACTCTGGACGTTAGATTTAAAATGAATATCACGAGGATAGATTTAGAGTACAAAGGGTTTTTGAGTAATCAGAGACAGTTCGAATCTTCAAATCGCTAAAGTCCCAATGGAGAGCTGTACTTGTCCCAATGTATTTTTATACAACACTACGAATGACTGATTTGAAATCAACTTTATGACCCATTTCAACTAAACATTCGACAATGGATAAAGATATTTATTTATCATATGTTCTTATCAAAGCATTGGATTCTAATTGTTTTTTAGCAAATCCGATACCTGTTCAACCACTTACATATATGTCATGATTACGCCTCCCTCTATTTGTGTCCACGTATATATGTGAACTGAAAAACACACCAGAATCTAACTCTAGTTTCCATGCTTTTTTAGTTAATGGTTAAGCATGAAAATTGCCTTTTCAATACTGATGAGTTTGGCTGAGTAAACTTTAGGCCTTTGTCTCAGATCAAGGCTACCCGCTTCAGTTCCAAGTTGTCAGGTGATGAATATATACCTTTATGAGTGCCGAAAATGTAGTAGGCATCGGAATAATGCTATCTTCACATTGATTTTCAAAATCTAATGAATGTTCACTTTGCATCAATTTTCCGGTTAACAACTTTGCTTTAACTTTAATACTATAGTTGTGCAAATGAGATTAATCATAGTGAATGAGTCTTTTAACAACCCTTTGTTGTATTGATCTTGAAAATATCAGGAAAAACTGAGGCACTTACCTATCCTAGTAAGCTTTATGCGAATGTAGCATGTAATTAAACCATCTCTCGTACTAATACACATATATCTAAGATGAGAAGTTAATTACTTATCATCTCTTCACATGAGAATTTATTTATTTATTTAAACACATAAATATTGGTACAAAGGGGCACCATATACATATGGGCCACACCAGTCTTATTTAATCTGTGTGAGGGCTGTGATACTACCCGGGTGCCCAAACCAAAGCAGGTGGTTTCCTCAGGGGGCCACACCCGGGTTCTTTGACCTAAAGGTCTGATCCACAAGGCAGTGGAACATCGTAAGAAGACGCATTCCCATGGTAGTCGGTGACCAACGATTGGTTCATACACCATTTGTTCCTTCAGGATACTGGAGCCCATGTATACCATTGGTTTGGAATCAAGGTTTTCCAACTTCCCTAGTTCTATTTTCTGTGTCCACCAACCCGGTTAAAGCCAGGACATTCGCTTTTCGTCCTCTCACTTTCGTAAACAACACCCCATTCACGAGAAGGCAGTGAGTAGGACTTCCCTGGTAGAGGCTATATACGCGTGGCCATGTGAGAGTATTTCGAGAGGGAGAGCGGACTCTTCCTGCTCTCGGCCGTACAAAGGCATTTGGTGCAATGAGAGACCGACATCCTTTTGAAGTAAAATAATTATTCAATGGGATAAAGAATATAACATCAAAATGCATTAAGTACATTAATGTAGCCGAATTTCAGTCCATTAGTCATTGGTTGAAACATTAATATCAAGACTAACCTAGTTAAATAAATAAATAAATATAGAAAGATGGTATACACTATGACTTGATGTATAAGTTTGTGTATAATCAGTGAGTTACTCAAACAGAAAAGCGTGGAATACGAAATAAACACATTCTAAAAAGATTATTTAATAATGGAGATAACTGGCAGATATGTAAAGTAACTTCAACAGGAAATAATTTATTATAATTATATGGTAGAATGTCTCTGTCAAAGGCTTTAGTAGATCAACAAATTTTGAAACATTTAGTCTTTTTCTCACAAATTTAGAAAATGTAATGGGAATGTGAAGTTTGTAATTGTACTCAAGCATTCTGCTTAAAGTATTATAAAGCCTTTAAGTAACTGTTCCATACTGTGTACAAAAATACTTTAGTGAAGAATGGTTAGCTACTTATCATAGCTAGATATTTTCTGTGAAAATAGATTATAAAAAAACATATTCTGAGGAAAATAGATGATTAAGGATGAAGAATGTGTTTGTAAAATCTCAGCGAATGAATTTGAATTTACTTCATATTCATTCGCTGAGTTTTTACAAATACGTTCTTCCTCCTTAATTACTTAATTACTTACTCCTGTTAACCCTCGTCGAGGAGCATAGGCCGCACACCAGCATTCTCCATCTAACTCTGTCCTGAGCCCTCCTTTCCAGTTCTTTCCAGTTACTATTCATCCTTTTCATATCTGCTTCTATTTCCCGGCGTAGTGTGTTCTTTGACCTTCCTCTTTTCCGCTTCCCTTCCGGATTCCAAGATAGGACTTGTCTTGTAATGCACATTGGTCAGTTCCTTAATGTATGTTCTATCCACTTCCAACGTTTTTTCCTAATTTCCTCTTCAGCTGGAAGCTGGTTTGTCCTCTCCCATTAAACGCTGTTGCTGATAGTATCCGGCCAATGAATGTTGAGTATTTTGCGTAAACTACTGTTTATAAACACTTGTACCTTCTTGACGATGAATGTAGTAGTTCTCCACGTTTCAGCTCCATACAGTAGAACAGACTGTTTTGACGTTCGTATTGAAAATTCTCACTTTGAAATTAGTTGACAGATGTTTTGATTTCCATATGTTCTGCCTCTTTAATGTCTCACATCAACTCGGTGCTCAAATAATATGAAACTATTTAATCACATTCAGATTATTGTTAACATTTTTGTTTATCTTTTTATGTCTTTAAGACAGTTAACTCGATTTCTTTATGCGAGTTTTTTTTTCTTTTTAAAGCCTAATCCTAGTAAACCAATCAATAAAATGAATATGGATGAACAAGGTTTACTTAAAAGAAATGTACCGATTTCGTTTTTATTAGAAAATAAACAACATTTTCCAGATGAACAACAACTTACGACGACAACAACAAATATTATTCATGAACTGTTGAATTATTTCAAAGAAAATGAACAGCATGATAGTATACTTAGAGCAAATTCTGTTGATAAGTTAGTCATAAATTTGATGTATATTTAAGCGAACAATTGTTTTCAATAACTTTATCATCAGGCTCTACAAATACAAGTCCATAATTATGATATTTTACAAAGGCCAAAACAAGGCATCCATTAATGAATTTGACAATGTTATGTGTTAATAACGGTGAACATTTGCATCTGTCACGACATAAACCCTTCAAATTTTTGTTATTTGTAAATTCAAAACGTCATTTATTAGAGGTCAGAATGATTTGGAGTAAAGTGTCAAATTACTATCTGCACAAAATGAAAATAAATCATGTGAATGAAATGTATAGTAGGAGAATTTTGTCTTGTCAATCGAGGTAATAATGATCATAATAATACCAGAGTAGGGGTTTGTGGAAATTGTAGTAACTTTAATAGTTGAACTCATCAGTCGATCTAAGCAAGACCACCATTGGAAACCTAGAAGCACTGGAAGTCCATTTCGTCCTAGTTTAGGACCCCTGAACAGTACGCTGTGACCAATGGAATTTGATCCGTGTCGGGTAGAGACGGGACAATGGATGAATGGTTGCAAAAGATAATGAATTGATTGAAGTTAGACATTAACATTGTTGGATGTCAGTTCAATGGTCTAAATGTTAAGATCAACTAGGAAATATTCACTCATCTTTTAGTAGGTTACTTTTTGATGTTTTATTTTTTTCCCAATATTGATATGTCTGTCCAATGTATTGTGGTGTCTAATTGATGTATTCTTTGATATTGTCATAAGAAGATAAAGTTAACCCTGAAATCGAAATATTTGTCATTGCGTTTCGAATTAATCAAATGAATATTTACCTATCAAAGTAATTCATATGCGAATAAAAAATACCTCCTACTTTACATCACAAGATAACCTCAATGGGACAACCCTTGAAAATCTGAAAGCACAGAACATCTGTTTTGTCATAGTATGGAACTTTTTAACAGTACATATCTACAGGTGTGAGGCAGTCACCCACCACACATCCACAACACAACGGAGGACAGAAATGAAAACGCCCAGGTTCCCTGGCGAGCACTCAAACTTTAGATCATTGATTCGATATTCAATCGTCTACATGTCTAAATTCAATCAATTAGCAATATTGTTCAATCATTTCTCAATGTCATCGGTAGGTATAAGCCATAGATGAGTAAACGCATATTTCCTTGAAGTCCCAAAATAGGACAAACAGCGGTCCATTTCTTCCTAGTTTTCAATGATTGTCTAGCTGTGGTCAGTCCGTGATGAAAACTATAAAACTCATTAGTTTTAAGAAATCCGCTGTGCCAAAAAATACGCTGTTGCATGCTTCAAAAGAAACATGATACTTAAAGTAGATAGTGACATGATAATAACCTAGAAAACAATAAAAGCTTCTTAATGGAGCACCCAGCTGAAATAAACACGAAACTATCACAAATACAGATGTATAGTATAAATTCTATTGTGCACATTGATTTCTTTATCCCGACCAAAAAACAAAAATCAATCTGTTAATCATAAAAAGCTCTCTCATATATTTATTTAGTTAATATAATACAACTTGTATGCTATTCACTTTATTCATGGTTTCGTTTTTTTTCTCAGTTCTATAAATTCATCCACCGAAAATCTTACAGAATTAATGAATCATAATGATTCAACACTATCTCGAAATGAACAGAATTTAGCATATCTTCCAAATAACCTATCTAATCTAATTCAATCAAATTTATCATTATGGTCAATCCATTCGGATCTACAGTATTTTTCTCCTACATCAACAATAAATCAAATGAAAGAGGGTGAAGACAACTGGACAGAAGAAGTCACAAATGTTAATGTTGAGATAAACAGTAGTGATAATAGTAATAATATGGTTGGTTACAGTTCGATTGGAACATTGACAGATGAAAGTATTCTATTTCCTTTGTTTCCATCAACAAAAAATAATTTATTAAAATTTAAATATTATCTGAAAGGATTAACTCATTTAGTCTTAGAAGGAATTCCTTCTACAATAGTATTCAAAGTAGATGATGACGATAATGATGATTATGTGCATAAACTATCGAATGTCATTGGAAACGACAGTAAATTTGAGAAACAAACAAATGAATCAACAGAACATACAATTAATTTTGATTGTTTTTCTTCACTGGTCAATCATTTACAATATGTCCAATCAAATAATAATATTAATGATAATAATAATGCCATTATATCTAAAGATGATGAGGATGAGGATAATGAAATTGAAAGAAAAGAAAGTAATCATTCATTGAAATTGTTAAACTTCAATCGTATTGTGAAGTTAACTATTAGAAATGTGAATTGGAATGAATTTATAAATTGTATAAGTAAACTACATGAATTACTACCACAATTAAAGGTAATCAGTCGTTTGTTGTTATGTCATTCAATAGTTTACACTAATTGTTAGTTAAATTAAATAAATGACTATGTAAGTAAAAGAGCATAGATGATAATTAGGTTATATAACTTTATAACGTATAAGACGGGAATTATTTACTGTTAAATATATGTACAATAAAATCGACTATTTTATGAAAATAATCTCTATCTTCATAATATTATATGATAGTTAGTCTTATCTAGACTTATAGATATGCATGAATGGTCATTGCCATTATATTAGCAATAAAATGCCATAGTATATATGTTTAGATAAGTAATTTACAACTATGTAGCTCTAAAATGACCTCGTACGGTCGAGGGTGGGGAGAGTTCGTTTCCCCTCTCGAAATGTTCTTACATGGTTGTGTGTATATGGCCACTTCCGGAGGAGTTCTACTCACTGACTTCTCGTGGTATGGGTATTGTTTGCGAAATCTAGAGGACGAAAAAGCGAGTGTTCGATGCCTTAATGACGTTTGTGGGTTTCGGAGGATCCATCTAAGGGAGTTGGGAAACCTTCATTCCAAACCAATGGTGCAAATGGGCTCCAGTATTATGAGGGACCATTGTTGGTCATCGGCTACCATGGGACTGCATCACTTAACGTTTCTTCACTGTCTTGTAGGTTAGACTTCAAGGTTGAAAGCTCAAGAGTGGCGCCGTGAGAAAACCACCTGCTTCGGTTTGGGCACCCGGGAAGTATTCCAGCCCTCACTAAAATCGAATGACGGAGTGTGTTGCACTTATATTTGGTGCACCCCTGTACCAATATTTATGTGTTTGAATAAAAAAAATTACTGTAGGTATTGTGATCTTTAAGCTTTCATCGTTCTTCCAAATAACGTCATCAGTACGTACTTCAAAGAGTACAGGCTGGTGATTATAAGGGTGACGAAATATTGAATGAGGTATTGGAACCTTATCAAATGAGGTAGTGGAAATTCGTGTTACTGACTGGTGGTTAAGATACACATGAGACCATAGTATTATCAAGAGTAGGGTACAACTGAATAGCCGAGGCAAAATCCAATGATCCTCATTTGTTTCAAAATAAATTTCTAGGACTTCTTATGGGAAGATGTAACTTTCTAATAAGGCAATAACTCATAGATAATATTGAATGAGGACTGTATTATATCACAAATGAACAGAAGTTATAAATATGTATGACTGAATTACGATTCAACAAGTGAATAGTCTCCTATATCCACGAGATCTAAATTTCTTGACTTCAGTCACTTGTGCTCTAAAACTGGGAACTAAGGAGGGGTCCAAAACATTTGATGTATTTTCTAAACTGAATGACTTGAATTGTGAAACATTTGCTGTCTTTCTGAATAGCATTATCAACCTAAAATACTAATCATCTCCATTATTTCTCTAACTAGGATAGAACAGTACTTCAATGTTTTCTTTTAGTTTTTCAATGGTTATTCAGATAAATCCGATTTATGATGAAAATTATCTCCAGAGTTTTTTCTATCATGCGTATATTACAGGAATTAAATCTTGAAAATAATCAACTTAAATATTTGCATCAAGTTACTGATCTAATTGATTTTGAATATTTAACTGCATTACATATAACTGGTTCAAATGGTAATCCAATTGTTGAACAATCTGGTCAATTATGGCGTCCATTTATTATATGGAGTCTTGCTGATTCATTAAATTTGACATTTTTAGACGGTAAACTTGTAAGTAATATATATATATATCATGTTGTATATTCAAAGCCCCAAATGCCCTGGCACGGAAGTCCTACTCAATGCCTTCTCGTGGCTGGGGTGTTGTTTACAAAATTGATAGAACGAAAAGCGAATGCCCGGCGCTTTAAAAGGGTTGGTGGACACGTCAAGTCAACCTAGGGGAGTTGGAAAACCCTCATTCCAAACCAATGGTGCATATTGGCTCCAGTATCCTGAAGGAATAAATGGCGTATGAACCAATCGTTAGTCACGGGTACCATGGGACTGCATCTCCTCACGATGCTCTACTGCATTGTGGATCAGATCTTTAGGTCATAGGTTCCGAGTGTGGCTCCCTCAGAAAACTACCTGCTTCGGTTTGGGCACCTGGGTAGTATCATAGCCCTCACACAAATCAAATGATATTTGTGTGGCGCATATATATCTGGTGCCCCTTTGTATCATTATTTATGTGTTCAAAAAAGACTTCTGTAAACTATATGAATAATTACATTGTAAAGAATCAATTAATTAAACGCTATAATATAATGCTATAACAGGTAATACGATCTTTCCCTGAATCAAAAAGATTTCTTTTTACGATCAATTGGCATCAACTATACAAAGCGTTTATACTGAAGTTTAATAACAATAGTTATCATTCAACACTGATAGAAAGGCATTATTTTGAATTGCTGAATTTCTTCCATTGTAAAAAGTTTTTATGTTAATTAATCTACCTTAATTAGTACAAACTGAATACTCTGTCGATTCGAAATTCACTAGACTCTTAGAATGAGGTAATAATGACTGATATTTGTCATCACCATTCAATGAATTGATATACGAATAAAAATGAATTATTGATATCGTGTTAGATGCGCATTGCACTGAAGAGTATCATATTGGGACAAAACGGCTATTTAAAGTTGCTACGAATTTTAATGGTTATATAACTGAAACTTTGTTCTGTCATTTATTATTAAATTGAAAACCTAAGCAAACCTTACATTCTGAAGGTAAATATTTATCTCAGATTCTCACTATAGACACCGCAGAAATTCAGAATTCAGCGTTTGAAAGTTAATTCAAAATTATTGCATTTAAAAGGATAGAGTTACATTAAAGCTAGATCTTATTTCAAAGATCGAACAGACATCTAAAAAGGTTGGCAAATTTTGAAAAATAAAGTTATCTGGATGTAGTCAAGAGGAAAGCAGGTGTGTCAAATACAACTAAGATTAATATTAGGCATCTGATATTTTCTCTTTCACTAAGTAACTTACTAAAGCTATACCGTTTCACCTATATTTTTAAAGGGCATGTAAATGTATAATGAAAAAGGCAAGTATTGAGTCATTTGAAATGTTATTGAAAAAATATCCCAAATATCAAGCAGAAATTAAATGGTATACTGAAGAGTGATATGAAACCGCAAGGTAGTGAAAGATAAAATATTCGGAAGATATTAGTCCACTTGACAAATACCGCAAACAAGTTCACGAGGAACAAATAAAACCCAATAAATCATCAAAATAGTGGCTTCTTTTTAAGTCAGAGATGAAAAGAGGTATTGGATACTTTGTTCTCAAACATCCAGATCAATCTTGAAATGATTTGACAACGGTTTCAAATTTAGTAGGTTATTGATCTGTATCCTTGCTGATTTTGAAAACTACTACAGGATGGCCTACATGACCAGGGTTTAACAAGTGTTCAAGAGCAAATGTACTCATAGTTTTACATTAGAAGTGTGTTTTGGGGCCCAACATAAACTCCTGTATAAGAACAACTAAACTGATAGATACTTGTTGGGTTCGCCCAGAGGAAACTCATGCTTAAAGCATCCATCAGTCAGCTTTTGATTTAAAAAGATAATATCACAGTCCCAAAGAGAAGATAATATGGACAGACTGTTCTTTTAATCTCTGCTGCAGCATCGAATTTGAATTATGCGTTCAAAAACACAGTTTCTTAGGTACTGTGTTTGTTTTTTTCTTGATAATATACTATGGGCAAAAAGCAAATAGTAATTGAGTACAAACTGACTGAGCGTTAATTTACTGGGAATCTTCAAATTACAAACATGAACAAGTTTAGAAAAATCTACCTTTAATTAGGTACCCATCGTCGACTGGTTACGGAAGTTGAACTTATTGCTCTCATCGAAGAATAAATCTGATGATCAAAAATTCATAATTTTATTCAGTGTATATGATATCACAAATCCATAACGAAAAGAGAAAAACTGGGATACACTAATGAGGGTATTGACATTGTAGTTCGTCTTATTTCTATAAGCCAACATCCAGAATTTAGTATACAGCATTATATGGTAACTACTACCATCAAGCATAATAGATGTTGCAGTTTTCGAAACATGAACTTACAAATCTGAGACCAAAATTTGTGGATCAGAGTCAGTTTACACAGTTCTGGAATACGTTCTTGAAAAACTGAGTTTAATGGCATGTAAAAACTATGTTTATACCTAAACAGAAAAGAACAAAATTTTCAAAATTACCTGAATTCTTTATATTTCAAAGCTTCTTATCAGCTTTATATATATAAATTATGAATGACTACATTGACAGTTTGGTCTTCTAGAAATATGCTGTAATTAGTTCCGCGTAAACTTATAGCTCAAAAAGTAAACCACAAAAGAATTTTTTTCAGATTTCTCCTGACTGAACAATTCCAGTGTTGTGAATTACCTAAGATATCTTATTTTTATGTGATTTAAACGTGCTACTGATAACTAGTAAGTAGTTTAAAGTATTTCAAATATTTTAAACCTCAAATGTGAGATTTGACTTAATAATATGGTATTACCTTTAATTTACAATAGATTAAACCAAATGAAGTAAATGAATCGAAAAACCTATTCAGTTTGTTTTACGAGAGAATAAAAATGCGTAACTCCTACTGCACAACATCAAATCAATCTTTTTATAAAAGATTAGAAACTGTCAACAATATAAGTAATATGATGAATAATAAAATTCCAATGAGTGATGCAAATATAGATGATTCTGGTTTAAGGTTGGTCAATTCAATATCATCACCAACATTACCAAGAACAGTACTCAATTCTCATAATAATAACAATATCAATAATAACAACCGCAATATTGACGCAACAATGGCGACAACATCGGTACATACTACTTCTACTCTTGTTAATTGTAGTCGTTTTGTTGAACAACAAAATATATTACTTACAAAAAAAGAACTAAACAATGATAATGAGGTAACTAGAGACAATTCAGTGGATTCATTAAGACGTTCATCTTCCAATAAATTCAAAATAAATGGAAGCTCAATAAATGGATTCAAACAAAATCAAAGTAGTATCCACAATATATCTCCAGCATTAAAACAAGTAAATAAGGTAATGTTAATATCTTCAATTCATTACATTCTTTGATAGATTGAGAATAATTAGAACAGTTTCTGTTTAAATTTCCAAATTAGTACTCTTCTAAAAAATGGTGATGAATATTACATGTTCGTACTTAAGATGGAACATTATTTTACATAATGTTATGTTTTTACTATGTTAAGAAGTATTAATTAGAATAATTAACTTACTTACTTATGCTTGTTAACCCTCGTGGAGAAGCATAGACCGCCTACCAGCACACTCCATCCAACCCTGTCCTGATTAATCCTTTCCAGTGTACGAAAATCAATACAATCTTCTGAGAAAGATTTAGACAGTATCGCATGGATTTATTTTGCTTCATTAATTTCTCATCAACTACTTACAACCTATATATAATATTTTAAAACAAAACAAATGACAAAGTATATTAACTTGTATTCGTAATTATGACTTTAAAAACTGTTGTGAACGATAATGAGAATCCAGTGTGATAAGAAAAATTCATATTATTGTGTTCAAATGTTTATTCTTCTTTTCTTAAGATGCAATTTCATCCTATCTAGTATAATCTAGTGTAATGAATAAAAGATGTGAGAGGACAATCGAATTTATTTAAGCACAAATTACAGAGTATCTCAATCAATTCTGATAACCATACAACAAAGAGTTATCTAGCAAAATAACAACCAATTGTCTCAATCTTCACTGTTCCTTCTATAAATATCAGTCCATCTTCTCTAATTTCATTGTTTATGCATTTTCCTACCAATCGCGTTTCCTTTCAGTTCTTTGCTTATCGGTCTTCTGCCAAAATACATTCTACATCTGACCATCACCATATACTACTTATGTGGACATAAGTAGCCCTCACCGCACTAGGCTTAGTTATATCACTGCATAGTTGGATTAACAAACTTTTTGACAACAATTGAATAAGTGGACTAACTTCAATTGATCGAAAATTTAGAATAACTATTCCGCTAATTAAAAACATTGTTTTGTAGGAAAACCCATTGACTCTAGGCATTCTGTGTGATTTTTTTATGTTTCGTAAACATTTTTGTTCATCAGTCAATAGCGAACTCTCTGTTAGAGGGTTAAGCTGGAAATATTTCATATTCAAAACCTGATCATTTGAATAAGATGAAGTATTATCAAAATATCGACTTCTCCTTGTTTTTATTTAGAGAATTAATTCCAAGATAAAAACCTAGTGATTAAATAATTAACGCATTAAGTGTAGTAATTTTAGTTATTTCTTCAAAGCTCCAATAACTCAATACTTCATCGTTTGGACTTGATAGATTTACAAGTTCGCTTGTATTCGCGCTACACATTATTGAACTCGGTCAGATTTTATCATTCGTAAGCTACAATACTACTTCATTGTTTTATGCTAGAATGAACTAAATACTATTTTAAATCAAGAAATTCAGTCAGTAATACATCCATATGTTCTAAAATCTATACCAAATTTTACTTTATTGATATAGCTGCAATTCTCTAAAGAGGATGAATAATCTTAATAACCATGTAGTTTCATAACTATTAGTCTTTGTTGAAAAATACAATAAATTATATACTACTAACTAGTAATATTTTACTTAACATTTTAGTCAGAAAATTTCGAAAATGGATTACAATCAAACGAAGGAAAGTTATCTATACAAAATCAACTTTTAAAAAATTGGCCATCTATATTAAAACGACTAATTCATCAGGCAATAACTGACAATCACATTGCTACTAATAAACTTTAATTAGACAAACATTCTGTGGGATTTATGTTATTGTGTATGAGTAAGTGTATACAATATACCTGTTCTGTAGAACATCTTATTTTATCATACTTTTGTACATAAAACGCAACTTATGTTGAATAAACTTACAACATTTTTGTGAAATACTTAGTGATTCCTAAGCCTTATGGATGTTTTAAGTATATGATATGTCTTACTGATTGAACGCTACATTCGGATCCTAAGCTATTCTCATAATCCCCAAGCTAGAACTACACAGCGAATTGAACACGAGAGAAAACGTGCATGATATACGAGAAGCATTTTACTGTAAAGGTTCATTTATGTACAGAAAATCTGTCTACCCACTTTAGTGCCGAGTATGACTTGTCTAATGTAGATTAAGACCTTGACGCGATAGGCTGACTGGCTTAACCTTGAGGCTAATATGCGTGAGTTCGAAGTGGGGATAGAGAGACGAAAACTATTCTATCCCTGATTGGCTGGCAAGCACGCGAGAGAGAAGACAAAGACAATTGGAACACTAATTACTTTATTCCGACCCCGATCTAGCACTCGAATTCCCAATTCAGATTAGGGTGGAAAGTTACATGAATAAGTAGATGAATAGGCTGACCACAACGTTCAATAATTAGAAAAATACAATTATGTCCAAAACTGGGGGATTATAGTAGAAAATAGGGTACAAAAGATTACGTCTAAATGACAATAGCTTTAGAACAGAAAATGCTATGGCAATGAGTCATACATCAAACGAAAGCTTATGATCTGTAGAATAGGTTAGGGACAAAAGTAAATGTTACAGTTTTACAAGCTTTGAATTAAATGAATTAACGTCCCCAAAAATAGCTTCCGTAATTTGTTAAGGCTTCTTGTTTTGCGGTTCACATCACTACTAAACATAGTAGCAGTGTAGTAAACAGCCAATCAGAACCTCTACATCTGACTTTTCATTTTCGCGATATTGCTAGAAAAACTTTTAATCAAACGCTGATTAGATAAAATGCTTCTTAATATTTCCTGAGCTTGTCATGTCTATTGCGAGAAATTTTCAGGATTACCTCAACAGTATAAATCTTTTTTTTAAAAATGTTGCGTTTTATACTGATTGAATATGTTTGTTTCATTGAAATTTATATAAAATTGGTTCAGAAAAAATTCATTTACTAATATATTTGACGCAGGTTCAGAGAGATAAAAATCATGGTGATCATGGTAGTGACATTATGTATTGTAATAGGGAAATTCAGAAATGAAAAATTGATTAAACCAAATTTAGTCACAAAAATATTTCTCCCGTAGTCGACACTTACTAAAATGATAGATGTTTTAGTCTAGATGACAGGAACTCATAAGAAGTGGTTAGAAATAACAACTTCTTCCCGTCTATTAGATCAACATAATGTCAGGGGTTTGGCATTAACATGTTTATTTCTATTTGATAACGGTAAACTGTTTCCTTATTGACTTCTGTTTGGTTTGGTACTATCGTTTTCTGAGAGAAAACGTGAGATTGTACACCGAGGCGTCTTAATCCGTGAAAGTGATATAAGCCTAGCATATATGTAATGATTTACGTAGGTATCATTTACGTAATAATCCCTTTGTTCAATGCTATATTTACTACAATAAGGATTTCTCATATTATTTCAACAATCCCCTCTTAATTTTCACATACATTGCACAAACATATACGTAGATAACATTACCAAGTTTTGATTTGATAATTTCGAATAAATTGAACACTGTGTAAATTGTATGATAACTACAACGAAATCCTCTTTACATTACCAGTCTGTAGATACATGTATTCGGTCATGTCTGGTTAATTTTACTTTAAGAACCTTTTGTTGTGTAATGTGTGGTTGATAAAGTATTCTAGAGCTTTAGTATTTTTGCGTATACTTTTTATCAGTCTACGTCTCATTGTGCCAGAAGAAATACAATTAATAAAGTGTAAATAAAGTTGGTAGATTGTATTTGATAAAAGTAGACAGTTAATTTATATGTTATTCTACTTAATTTACTCAACACTTGAAGTTACTATTCAATGGATAAATAATAACATTTATGATTCCTGATCAGACAGTTCTATTCACAATACAGTTATAGCAAATGTACATCTCTCAGCTTATAAACAGACATTTACCCGACACTAAGAACACCTTAGTATATAACTAGGATACCTATACATGAAAAATAAAATTCCACAATAGTTAGTCCCCACAGAGCCCCCAAATGCCCTGGTACAGTCGAGAGTGGGGAGAGTCCGCTCTACCTCTAGAAATGCTCTCATATGGCCACGCGTATATAGCCTCTACCAGGGAAGTTCTACTCACTGCCTTCTTGTGGCTGGGGTGTTGTTTACTAAAGTGAGAGAACGAAAAGCGAATGCCCGGCGCTTTAAAAGGGTTGGTGGACACGTCAAGTCAACCTAGGGGAGTTGGAAAACCCTCATTCCAAACCAATGGTGCATATTGGCTCCAGTATCCTGAAGGAATAAATGGCGTATGAATCAATTGTTGGTCACCGACTAACATGGGTCTGCATCCCCTTACGATGCTCCACTGGATTGTGTATCAGATCTTTAGGTCAAAGGCTCCGAGTGTGGCCCCCTTAGAAAACCATCTGATTCTGTTTGGGCACCTGGACAGTATCATAGCCTTCATACAAATCAAAAGAGATTTGTGCGGCGCATATGTATTCAAATAAAATAAAATAAACAGAGCCAGATCTCAAAATTCCCACCCCCCTTATTATTACTACTACCATTACTACTTGTCCGCAGTAATTAAAACAAGAATCTTTTTTAAAAAAGTAACTTCTCTTTTAAACATATACATATATTTATATAATTTATATTCATATTGAATAATTAGAAAGAGACTTAATTCAGATCAGTACAGTTATATACATACATATATTATAAATATTGATAAAAATGTACACACTATTGTTTCGATGCATAAAAATAACCACAACAATAATAAAAACAATAATAGTATTCTTCTTTTTTTCATTAATGAAGAAATGCAGGAAATTATTTTTTTTTAAAAGAGAGTGAGAGGATGTTTTTGTATCTTTATAACTTTTGTACATAAAAGACAACAAATTTCAATGAACTGAAAGGGGGGGAAGGGTTTGCTTCATTATAAAAATCTAACAAGTAATTAAATGTGTATATAATATGAAGACGTATTAATAAACAACCAGTTGATCATTAAAAAAAACAAAAGGAACACAATAAAAGAGAAGAATGTGACTGTATCATTGAAATAATAGAATACACAAATATATAGAGAGAGAGAGGGAAAGAGAGGGAACAGAAATTAAAAATATCTTCTTTTCTTATAGATATATATAGAATAGATTAATTTAAATATTTTCTACAAGAATAACTGCCACAATTGCACGGTAATTTATCGGATTCTTTAGGAAAACGATAATCATACGTCAATTCTTCACCAGGATAAATTCTATAAATAGATAAGTAGTATATTTACATAGAAACGAAATTAATGAAATCATCATAAAAGAAACACATTATCAATAAACATGCTCAAATATTCTTGAATGAATTTTGTCTCATTTTTTAAAACAAAATTAGTATATATAAATGTTAATTACTTTAGACAGAAAAATAGACTGTTCGTTTAAGTTGTGTCAGTATAAGGCATAGACTTTCTATAGGAAATTCGTCAGATATTCGTAATACTTTGAGTGATTAAATGAGGTTACTTTTACACATACCTAATAAAAAGCTTTGGTCTTAAAACAGCAATAATAAGTTGACCTATATTAGCTTACCATCTTGATTAAAACAAATGAGATCAGAATATAATAATAACATCAGTAGTCGACAAAGTCATTGGATCTTCATTGTTCATGTACAGAAAAACATTTAATTGGAAATATTAGATGAAACAGATACAAGAATAAAGTTTCTTATATTCTATGTAAACCTTTACCTGAAACCTCTAAATTCAATTTATTACGTTAAAAAACAAGTTAATCCCGAATCAGCTGCCAAAACATACACTCTCCAGTTGTTATAATAAAAAATCTCTCGACCTCTAGGTTTTATTTCTAAAAAATCTCCATATAAATCAATAATAAGAAAAATAAACTTTCTAAATAACAATGTATACGTGCGTATTACTTACTTTCGTTGGGCCAATATAACGATATGCTTTTTATCATCAATCGACACAACTTTGGCATAACAATTAGGCTAAGTAAAAAAGAAACAAAGTGAAAAACATGAATAGAAAAAAGACGGAAAAGACACTATTCTTTCAATAACAAAAAAGTACCACAAGAAAATTATCATTCGAATTAATAGTAAATACTATCTCGACTCCATGGGAATTGTTAAGAACAATCATGTCTTGTCTATGTGTTTGTAATATCGATATTATGCGCTTCATTATTATTGTCCAGAATTTGTGTTAAGAGATCCAGGAAAATAATAAATAAACCACAACTTGAGTCTGTATTTAGTGGCCCATTATCTGACTTCATTTGGATCGTTTCTGATTGCTGTCGATTAAGTCACTTGGTTTGTTTATCAGATGAGTAAATTTCGAAATGTTCATTTTCTGAGCAGTTTTGCAGGTTATGTTTAGCTAGAAGTCAGGCTTACCATTTGAGTAGTAGTATGATGATATTATCGATTGAGTCAGCTGCATTAAGTTCGTTGTTTGAAAGTACAGAGTGAGGAAGGTTCTTCATTGACGTACTTTGATACGCTAGGTTCATCGTCAATGGGCTCACCACTTTTGTGGCCCTAGAGCTATTTGGCTTACTCGCCTTCACCATGCATCATTTTGTTTAGATTCGCTTTCCGATCAACAATTGTATGAGGTATATATATTCAAAAATTCATTCTCGTATTTGACATACGATGAAATTAGAGTCAGATAATGCACCACTAAATATATATATATATATACTAAAATTATGACTCATAAATGAAGTCATTTAAATGTAGTGGGAAACTTAATTAATTTATAAAGTAATCTGAGAAATGATTCCTATTTGTTATGCATAAGTTGTAAGTTGAAAATTGTTAGAAAGCTGACTAGAATATATTTATGCGATATGGATTTCATAGCATACACCCACTAAGACCTTTTCATCAAATGTACATTAAGTTGTAGAAACATTTATTTCGTGCAAAGAAATGCAATTCTATGCAAACACTTAAAACGATGAATGAATTCAGTCAATTATAAGTAACACAGAACTAGTCATATATGTACATTGGTTCCATACTAGCGAACTGAGATGAAATCGTCAAGATATATCCCAGAGGAGTTGAAGTAGTAACAGTAGTAACAGTAAAATATGATTTGAGAGAAATGAATTCGAAGAATAAACAATTTCGAAACTTAGGATATCAGTATAAGCAGAGAGTATTTGCATCTTTGTCACTGTGACCGATTTTGAGTCGTGTATCACACAATATTTCCAATCACTGGTGACATTAACTGTGAATAAATTAAACTGGAAAAAAAGGAATATTTGAGATAAACAGTACCTACAAATCACTAACATTTTAGGTACTGCAAAGCGAATGAAGTAATTTTAACAACAATTATACTGACTTAATTAATTCTTGTAATACTAAGGAATGAAGATCTTAAAATTACTCGCAGACCACCATTATTATATATTGATCGAAAAAATTCTTAGTTGTAAATTGGATTTGCAGTTACTTTTTTTTCTTAAACAAGAAAAAAAAACAATTCAGGTACATCCAGCTGACTAGTCCCAAATAGGACGAAACGTGCGTCCTGGATTCCACTGTTAGCCACTATCCATCTTTGCTTACCGTAATTCATGTATTAGATACCAAAACAGATAAACGCTAACTAGGTAGAAGTTGTAAGAGGTGAAGAAGATAAGAAGGAAATTCTACAAGTATCATGAAATAACTTAGAGATTTCTGATTTCTATTAGTAGTAATGTAGTTATTATCGTTCGATTAAAATATAAATATTTCTATATACAAAACTACACATACATCACATGCATGATTGATAAATCGAGCAGCGTTTCCAGCATACGTAGCGTCGATAACCCAATCTGGATCTATTCTGAACATGTAACAATCTACGCCAGTTGCTCTATATTTTAATTCACGAGCATCACAAATAATACTTCGTATTAACTCTCCAGTATATTCAATAACCATTTCGTCTTCCCGAAATTCTCGTAAAGCGAATAAACCACGACCATGTATACGAGATGGATGTACAGACACACGATAAAATCGAGCCAATGATCCTGATAGCAATCGACTAAATTGTGTAGCAACCTTGAAGAGAAGAAGATTAATGCAGATAAATAAAGTCAAGTGATATTATTATTGAGATCATAAACCGATCAATGTTATGGCACTATCTCCACAACTCTATACTGATGATATTATTATCGTTGTTAATTGTATATACGAGAAGTAATAACGATCGAATGGTTAGTCAACATTTGTTAAAAAGGGTAGTTTTTAAAGCTACATAGAGTTCAACGAATTAAAAAAGTATTTTTAAAATGTGGTAAGGAGAGTTCAAGTTATATAGTTTTTGTTATGATATGTCAGTTCTTCTTTTCAAAGCTTAACCTCGATAACACTTTCCTTATCCATATTTATAAAATGACCCATGCTGTCATCTGATTCGTTATCATTGCTCTTAGTTAGCTAACTTTTGTGTGCTAAGTTTATCGTATGTTACTACATAAATTTTCTTTTCAATTTTTGACTTCTGTTAGGGGCATAAGGGTATCCTGAAAGTCTCGTCTTTCCTATCTTATATTAGTATGCGAACTATTAATGGTGAATGGTTGTTATTCGTCAGACGCATGAGCTTTTCAATCGATCAGCACTAAGGATTGGACAAACATGAGATTGGTTACTACATGGTCGAATAAATTACAGTCCTGTGGGAAATCAGTTTCAATTCGAATAGCTGTGATAACATCTCAAACTATGAAACTCAAGAAATATGAATTCTTTGAAGATTGTAGTTAGCTCTTATGCTGACGGGTACTAACTAACATGAAATTTAAGTCCGAGATACCTTACTGAATAAAATTCAACCACCTAACATTTCACAGTCCTACAAAATACTAATAGTGCACCAACAAAAAGGGATAGAAAAATAAATAGAAAGTTATCAGTTTCCCTAAGATGCACTAGTGGAATAAACCATTATAAAACTTACTGTTCCTACATTGTTCTCGTCTTCCTCCTCATCCTCTTCTCCTTCTTCTTCCTCATGTTTCGATGATACGGAACAATTATCTTCATCATCAGAATAATTTATTCCAAACACCTGATCAGTAGAATTGACCAACTCATTGTCATTTACTGATTTTGGTGGTGTAGACTGTAATGGTATACCAGTTGCTCGTACAACAGCTTTTGCTATACATGATTTACGCAGACGTTGTGGAAGCTTAAGTTGTGTTGCAACTAAGAGAGCAGCTTGACGAGCAGCTTCTCTACAAGTGGCTTGTTCATTAGGAGACAAAAGTTTAGCCGGCTCATTTGTATTAGTTAAGGATGGGTCTTGATAAGGAAGTGAATTATCATCGCCTGAGCTAACTAAAGGTCGTGGAGGAGGATTAGCTTTACAATGAAGAAACCCAAGAGGATCATGAGCATGGTTGCGTGGACGACGAGGCTTCGTCCATGGGACAGCACGAGCACAGCCTTCAGAACAGGGTACAGGAGGAGTGAACTGTGAAATAAAACAAACATTGAATCAAAGGAAATAATGTGAATGTTTACATAGCCATTGGAAAAGACTAATCCCAATCAATTATTTTACAATGACTTAGTCTTGAAAAAAAAACTATATAAAAAGAAAGTTAAGTAATATCAATGAAATGAAGTATCGTCACTCAAAGGAAAGTTAATTTGAGTATTCATTTGTTACTGTTTATTTCAATTATTACATGAAATCTCAACCATTCATTTATTTACAATTATAAATAAGTGAATTATTAAAATATGAAAAGAGATATTGCTGTATACCTTTTGACGTAATCGATCGATCTTTTGCCAATGATATCGAAATCTATAACGATAACAATGAAGCGCTCCACGCATTTGTTCAATTAGAAATATTGTATAACGATGATTTAAACCAAACTGTGTCCATCCATCAATAGCTTTTTTTATTTAAAAGAAAAGAATACAATTATTAATACCGAAAAACCGCCACCATAATAACGAGATCAGAAAGACATTTTTTTTTAAAGTAGAATTTATCGAACAGTTACAACCATAAAACTGAGTACAGATGTATGCAATCCAGCAATTAACCCTGCTTTTAATGTGATGGCTGGTAAACATATAACCTGCAGTCAAATACACTAGTCCCTAAATCCCCGTTTTATAGAGTACAATTAACTATTATTATGTTATTATAGTCAAAATTATTTTGAGAATATAATTTACTACAAAAAGTTATGCTTAAGTATTCACTTCAAATGGTATTATCTTAGCACACGCACACACGTTGTAAAACCTGAAGTTTTCCGACAAAAAGTACACAAATATGTAAATATAAGTTTGATGCGAAAGACAATATACCTGTACAAATCAGTGGCTTTAATCCTTGTTTTTCACGTAGAGCTGAAACACGCATTATCACTGCACGCCAAGCAGCCATTGGGCTATTAGCTGAACGTACCATACCGTCAATTGAAAAGGTAAGACGAAATGATCTGGCCTATTACATAGAAAGGAAAATAAATGCTGTATGGAGAAAACAAAGATAATGTATGAATCCTAACACTGTTATTTTTATACTATGAAATGAACTAAACAATTATATATATATATATATATATATATATATATATATATATATATAAACAGTGAGAAGTTATCAAAGCCGTCTAGCTTTCAGAATCTTATCAGATTATCACTACTGCAACAAAAAATTCCTTATTCATTACATTAAAACGATGTAGAATACAAGTAGAAATCAGGAACCGTAGAATCATTGACTTTTGTTCATAAGTCCTTCATTTTAAAAACTTTCAAAAGAATAACCAGGACACATAATAAGTAATAAAACTTAATGACCAAGTGTTATATACCTGGTTACCAGTCTATATAGGCTAAATCCAATATAATGAATGGTGGATGATTAACAACTAGACCCGGTGAACGGAACCTATGCTCCTTCAAAACAATGAGAAAATGTGATCTGAAAAAAATGTGTATTACTATATCTAATCTAAAATAAAGTAGATTTTAGAAAACTCTAAAGCAAAAAAGTATAGACAGAAGATAATCATAAGTGGTTTGTTATTTATTTGTTTCAGTGTCTAAATTTTAGTTATTTAGTTAAAATATAGAAAAAAAACTCACATGTTTCTCAACTTCATTTTGATAAAGGCGAGCATGATTAGCCTGTTTAGCCTTCGACACTAAATGAGCCAATTCCTGTTGTCTGATACGATCTTCAATCCAACGTCGTTTTCCCGAAGGTTTGGTAGACAAGGGATCAGAAGTAACACGAGCATTCTTACTTGCTTTAATTAATAGGTCATTTTTATTAAGGCGATTATTCGACAATCGTGATTGACTACGTCCAGAAGCTGCTGTTCTGTGAGAATATGACGAACTACCAGAGGATACAAGTGAAGATGAACGGGTTTTATACAAACGTTTGCGAATAGAACCAGACCCATAATCAGGATCATCGTCATCACCAGTACCATCAAATTGAGGAAGTAGTTGGTGTTCAGGTTGAGGTAATAAATTCTAATGGGAAATGAAAAATAATAAAGAATTATCTAAGTAAAAGTCTGGGAACAATTATTTACTTGTAGTAAATTTAGGAATGTTGGTTCCACAAAGCTAGATTCAAATTAACGCGAACCGTCCAAAATTCAGTGACAGCAACTATGGAAAAAGTCTCTTTCTGACCGATGGTGGCAGGATTTTTTTTAGAAAGTTCGGCATTTTTCATTAGTAAAATTATTCATTCCGCTGTCAGTGAATATGTTTAAAGAAGAACACTTGTTCGCCTCATACTCAACGTCCAAAGTCACTTACTGTAACTTATGAATACGTGTTATATTTAGTCAGTTACAGTAATGATAAAGAACAATTTTTATTAAGGTATAATATGCATTATATATAACTCAGACAAATATACACTGAAAAGCATGAAAAAAGAAGCATAAAATCCAATTCACCTTCAAAGATAAATATAATACAACATAATAAATGGGGAAAATAGCTTACTGTTGAAACTACTCCTCGTTTATTCTGACTAACACCTGTAACATTGCCAATACTGAAATATAAGAAAAGTGGACAATATTATCATCAATACGTTTGACCAACTCGTTTAGTTTAGTGATTGCTCTTAGAATAATTATTTAAAGAAATGGTAAATACTATTTTGAAAGTTATTTTATTTTATAACTGAAATAAAGGCTAATAACATGTCAGGATTAGATAATTGTCATTAAAACTGATAAATCTCCTAAGTGAACTCTTGATTCGGTTTCCTAAGCTCTTCTAATAACCCCAGGCTAGACCTACACGGCAACTTGAACACGAGAGAAAGGGAGCGAGATATCGAAAGAACACTTTACTCCAAGGTTAGTTTATGAACAGAAAATCCGGGGTATTTATAACATTTCAGATGACCTTGAGTTTCAGGAAATTTCTGGAACCCTTCTAAACAGCGTAGCAGAATAGGTAATCATTCAATCAGAAACGCTACACGTGACTCTTCACTTTCTAGATGTGTCTGAGAACCTTCCAATGAATGCTGGTTGGATGAGATGTTTCCTAGAGTTTCTAGGGCTCCTTTGAGTTATTTTTCGAGGAACTTTGTGGGTCTCCCCAACAAACACAGTTCGATTTCAGGGATTTGAATAGATTTAAACATGAAAAGTATCTCAGATCACATAGTTAAGTGTCTACGAAAAATTGACTTGATGGATTACTACAATATAACACTGTTGTGAAGTTATAAAATTCTAAAATATTAAAATGTGGATAACAAATGCTAATTAGTCACACTTCTTTTTGAAATTAAGCCAAATGAGATAGATGAAGTACAGTACATATGTCAAGTTATCCTACTTCTCTAACGTCTGATGGTGTTCAGATAGAAAATTTTAAGAATTGCAAATAAATTTATCAAATGATCACTAATTACCGACTACTAATTTCTATATTAAATAGGGTATCAGATATTGGAGTTTCCATTAGTAACAAAGCCATATAGATACATTCTAAATTTATCCTTGGTATCAAGTTTTAACACTAAATCATTCTAGCTAGTTATTTAATTTCTCACAATACTATATGTAAACATTATTGAAGTAAATTGTTCAGTGTTAAAAATAAAATTAAAAAAATAACTCACTTTTGGAATAAACCATCTAATTGTGTTGCTAATTGTGTATCTTTTGTCGGTGTTGTCAATATTCCAGTCTTTTGATTTAAATGAACATTTTGAATACGTATAACAGTAGGTCCGATAGATTTATTATAAGGTAATGTTAATGATTTATTATTACTTGTATTAACTGTAATCGGATTGACAGTGGTACCGATATGATGTGTAATTATATCACCATTATATTGATTTACAGGGATTATTGCAGGAGATAAAGACAAATTATTATTATTACTATTAACAGAGATAACATTTGACTGAATTTGATTAGGTAAAATAAATGTTTTTCCATTATATGCATTCATTGAATGAGATTTGTAATAATGTTGTTGTGTTTGTTGTTTATTAAGAGAAATCATATTGGTGTAATTACTTTTATTAAACTGTGTACTATTACTAGAAACTGTTATGCATAAAACGGAAGAAAAAAGAGAAAGAATAAAGTAGAAATCATTTGGTATTCAACACTAAATAGTAAACTATAATGGATCTGTAACAGATGCTTGTTAGTGTCACTAATAACAAAAATAGTGACTCTACACTCAGAGAATCGATAAATTATTGAGAACAAAACTACGACATCAGAACCATTTTCCGAACTACATCATTTAGAAAATTTTACATGGAAGTGCAAACTATCACACTTCCTTAGTAAATGTATCTGTATAAATTAAAAGCAAAAGCGCATGTCTACTGTTTAAACCCTGGTTGAAGATATATAAGGTCCATCTAAAGGGAACTCTAATTCCACACTATTTACGTATATTGGCTTCATGAAACTAGAACAATAAGAGGCTTAGAAATCTGCTTTAGCAATTACTTATACCGGATTTAAGCGCTTGGGTGATATTACATCTCTCACACAAGACCAACGTTTTCATGTTAAAAACAAAGGGTATATGAGACCATTGAATAATGTGATAGACCTAAAATTTGGCAATAAGTTTGCTTGTGGAAGAAATGACGAAGACACTCTCAATCGAGTATTCCGAATTAATTGCCTGATCTCCAACTAATAGTTTAGCGAGCAATAAGGTATTCGAAAGTTAAATGGATTGAAGAATGCTACACAATAAATTATTTTACAACCGCTCACTCATTTTTATGAATATCAAATCTAATATCCTTATATACATGAGAAATAACATTCAAAACAAATTGAACAAACAAAAAAAATTTACCTGTAGAAGGATAAACTGCCATTTTGTAATTTAATTCTGTAGGTACATTATTATTTATACTATCGGGTGTAGTCGTTAGATTAGTGGTATTGACGTTCATTGGTATGTGAGATGTAACATGAACTGGGACTAAATGTTTTTGAGGTGTTGTTAACAGTTGACGTTGTTGAAAAATCTGCTGATTGTGTTGCAAATTTGATGGAGTACTAAGTGATACTGTAATAAGTCAATGAAATTACGATATTACAATGACGCAATGCTTAGTTAAAAATACTCACATAAAATTATGCAACAGATAAACGTCAATAAAAATGCTTTTATACAATAACACTTAATGAATAGTAAGTACATAACAAAAATATAGAAGTAGCTATGTCTATTTTATTTGATGATATAATAACAGTATACCATCCAGTATCTTGATAAGTTGTATTCACACTGTCATTATTATTGTATGTTTGAGAAATACAACAACGATTATATAAGTCTAAAAGAATTACAATAACATGACAGAATTTACAACAATTATATACCAACTTAAATGAAATAAAAATAATGAACGCATTAAAACTACATTGGGTAATTCAGTGCATTTTGTTGTCTCCACTTACGAAATTTATTTTTACCAGATACAAATTAATGTACATGGTTACGAGTGTAAGTGCTAGTAATACTGCTTAGTTTTCAAAATTAAAATAAGTAGGACGCGGTTTGAACTGGCGACTAAGCGGATGAAATTAGGACGGCTTAACCACTGACCCCTCCTCCCATTTATCGACAGTAAAAAACTTATTATAAGTATTCTAACACAATAATTCTTCTTTTCAAAAATTCCGACTAATTTAAGAATACTTTACATAAACACACACATAATACTTTTATTCACAGGCAATAGAATGAGGATCTATTTGAGTTAACTAATTTTAAATTAAGATTTCTGAAATACGACAAATTAATGTCAAACAATGGCTTCAACCTTCTAGAAGTGCAGATAGATAGCTGATCAGTATAACAAACACACGAAAGTTATTACATAAGACCTCAAGTTTTATAACTGTAACGATTTCAGTCAATAGGATAGAGTTCAAATACGCAATATGTCTAATATAGTTATAAATCTATATCGGTGAGTGATATGTATTTTCGTGATGTCCCCGACCCCTCTCACAAAGAATACCGAAGTAACTAATAACAACCTGCACAGAATCATTTCCATTAAATCTAAAAATAATATTACATATGATGTTGTGATGAAAAGAAGAAAAAACAGTTAAATATAAAACAGATCTTACCAGTGTTTACTATTTTCAATGACGAATTTTGACCAGTTAAAGCAGATGATTGAATAAGATGTCCTTGATTTATTGGATTGTTGATTGTGTGTGACATAAGCTGAAAACTACTAACTGGTAAAGTTGAATAAGATGCAACATTAACTAGATGACCACTAATAGGATGACTCATCAAAAGAGGAGGTTCACATCCAGTTTGAGAAGAAACAATAGATGGGGTATTAGTTAGAATAGCTGTTAACGTTTTAGAAGCATCTTGAACTGAAGATAATGTATTATTAATACTTTTTACATTATTGTTGATACTACTGTTAATAATACTATGAGTATTAGAAATAATAGAATTAGTATTAGAAGCGAAAACACAAGATGGAGATCTATTATTAAGAGGAGTTAGCAGTCTGATACGATTATCGATATTGACTAGACGAGGATTTTTATAAACTGGAGTTGAATTACTAGGATTGACAACAGGCAGTTTAGATAAAACAACAGATTTATTAGAATTGACATTCGTGTTGGAAGAAGGACGTGAAGTAGGACAAGTTTCCATGTAACCGGAAGTTGTATGTACTGTTTGACTCTGTTTTACTTGAAGGGTATATGGTATACGAGAATCCAACTTTGACCAACTCCAATAAATGCGCCTTGCACTAAAATAATGATAATAAAGAGATGAATACGTCATGTTTGATAACAATAAACGCAATAATCATAATATGAGATATCAGATTCATGTAACAGACAAACACAACATGACCAATTCACGTTCGTTGCTCGAAAGATACGCAAAATTTTGGAATTCGGGACTGGCCTGTGTCAATACCTGAACTAAGGATAGGGAGTGAAGTCGTAGAACGCGTCGACAACTTCACTTATATTGGAAGTCTGATCAGTCCTAATGGGTTGGTGTCTGACAAAATCTCTGCAAGAATTCAGAAAGCTCGTTTGGCTTTTGCCAACTTATGTCACCACCCATGGCGAAGACGAGATATCCGTCTATCAATTAAGGAACGAGTATACTGAGCGGCAGTTTGCTCTGCTATACTTCACGGCTGAGAAACGGGGCCATTACGAGAAGATACTCGTAAGTTACTACTATTTGATCGGAGATATCTTAGAAATATTGCTCGCATCTGCTAAAATTACAGCGTAAGTAGTAGTGACGTTGGACGTGGTATCAGTCCATAAAGTCACTAACTTCTGGTCTGAGCCACGTTGGTAGATGTAGACTACTTGGTTGGAGTTCACACGACTATCGTAACCAAATGGTTGGAGACTGTGTAATATGGCTCAGAATCGGCCACAATGGTGTAGGTGTGTACACCCTCTGTCTTCCTTTAAACCGTGAGATTACTTTATACCTTTCTTTCTACGAACTAATTCTTTCTCCCTGTATCATATCCTCATATGAAATCCTTTTTCATATATTATTAACAATGAAGTAACTACTTCTATGAATTTGGTGTTTTTGTAGTGCTAATGAAGTATGACAACTTGTACCGATACATATATGTGCCTAGTCATACGTTGTAGCTGACTAACTGTTTGTTACAGAATATCGCATGTGTTTGAAACACTGTAACGATGTAATGCTCACTATGTCGAATAAAAGTAAACAGAATTCGATACAGTATACAGTTAAAAGATAGAAAATTCTATAAAAGGCGTAACACCTATCACTATCAGTCAAACGCTAATGTAACAAGCCAATCTAAAAACCGTGAATTTTAGCAACCTACCGGTAATTTATAGGGCATAAGAAATTGCTCTGTGTGACTGTATTACGTTCGTCAAAAGAACCTGGAATCCATTTGGCCATGGCCAAAGAGTCTGAAGCTTCACGAACCTCTCCCAGTCTATCAACACGTAAAGATCCTATGGTGATAACAAGATTTTTTGCAGAAATTCCATTATTGTTAAGAAAACAAATTGAATTTGGTGAAACTGCAAGTGTGGATACAGCCTCTTTTGCAGCTCTCACTAATTCCGAATGTTCATCATCGCTCATAAGTAGATTATTTGAAATAAGATTTCCATTTATTGATTGAGGATACACTGATGCTGCAAAACAATCGGATGGGACAAACACTCGACGACAAACAAGTAAATCTCCTAAACCAATTGGCTGAATAAAAGAAAAATAATACGGAATTTTAAAGGCGGCTCGTAAATTGGATTATCAAAGACATAACAAAAGTAGTAATATATATATATATATATATATATATATATGCATACCTCTAAATCGTCAGCAATAGCTTCTTCCATTGATGCAAATGAAGGATGATCTGCAAAATCAGCCGGGTTAAATGAGTCAGTTGAAAAATCTTCATCAGATGAATGATCCCATGATTCAGGATAACCGAATTTTCTGTTATGGTTTCCTTTAGATGACTTTTTTAATGAATGTAAAGCTTCCGCAAGACGCTGGTTCATAACTGTATGATGACAGACTGGCGAACAAAACCAAGAACGATCAGCAGTAAAAACACAATGTGGTAATGGAGGGCAACGCCTTAGAGCACAAGAGAAATGTACGGCACCAACACAGTCCAAATCACAGTTATTAGATGATACTAATATAGCAAGAGGGCAAACATCAGTCTTCATATTAGAACAATAAAGAGTTGCACCATATTTTCCACAATCAGCACATTTGCTGGAACGACCTCGCCGAATAGCGTCTGACAAACCAATTAGCTCACCGGAATCCTCTTCATAAACATCATTACACCATAAGGCACAATTTATATGCACCTAATTATCACAAAGAATAAACCGACATTTAAAAAAGATGACAAATTTATAGAATACGTTCATCTGATCTGTTTTATACATAAATCGATAATGATTTGTACTTTTGGAACAATCGCCGACTATATGCTACCTGATAGATGACAGTAGATACAAAACTTAACAATTAATTGGTATTCGAATACTATGAATAATTGTCTACTGTCTTCTAATCATCTGGATTTTTCGCATTCAAACAGATGACGTACAACCTGTAAAATAAACTCATTTAGTTAGCTTGTAATCTACGTCTGTGTGGTATGCCCTTTGCATCATCTATCTGCGGAAGCATGTCCAGTTGACAGTAACTGGTATCTGCATTCCTCTTTCTTAGTGAATCGTGGAAAAAATCAGTAAATTTACGCATAGATGCTGGTGTTCTAAATGTCGGTTACGTAGCCCAAGAGAATAAATGTAGGGTAATAATGATTATAGGGAACTATATGATCCAAGTCAAAATCCTCATGGAGTAGTTCTGAACAATACATCTCATTAGTACAACAGTGAGTTGGAGCTTCGAATTAAAACTAGTAGCGATCTCATGGTAGTCTTCCTCCAAGTCCTTAGGCAATAAAATTACGTGGTTATGTCAATTAATAGTAGCAAATATTAACAACCATCAATTAAATAATTCAACAATAACTTACCCAAGTATCTGATCCTGTGTATAACAGGCGCCCCTCGATATTATCATCTCCATGATAACCACATAATAAACAACGTCTTGGATCTTCATCTTCTAGATCGTCAATCAAATGCTTACGCAAAGCATCGGCGGCAGCTTTTTTATTCAACTCCTCTTCTTCATCAAGGTCAACTAAACGGAATGATGGAATATGACCAGATAAAACAATCGGTTTTCTTATCTCCTCTTCATTCCAAAATTTGTCCAAAGCGAAATAAAAGCGTTCAGAATCAAAGGTTACTAATTCTGTAGATGATTTATTTTCACCATCACCACTATCTTTGACAGGCGATAATGATTTCACCGGGATATCAGAATCTTGCTGATTAAATTCTTGATCTGCTACTGTATTAGTGTCTAATTGATTATCATCTTTAATCACTTCATGACTAGATAATTCTGGATTGTTATCCATAACAGCGGCAGTGGTTACTGAATTCAACTGAGCTAATTCAGAATTACTAATACAGTTTGGCATTTCAGTTACACTATCTGAAGAATTACAAATGGGAGATATAATCGGTTTACATTTACTATTTAACTTATTTTCAAAGTGTTGAGGTGATGGGACTGATAATTCATGTAGACGTTTTCTGTACAACTTGATTAAATGATTTTGAAATTTCTTGACAACCACTAAAACGAAATGATAGACAAAAAGGAGATAAAAGGAACTGAAATTTCATCAGTTTTAAATTATCTGGTATATACATAATGAGAATACAAGTACAAAAAAATAGTTTTCAATCAACAAACTTCTATGAAAAACCGATACGGTATGAAGGATGGCCTAAAGATGGCAAATCGATTGGCGAAGTTGTAAATCTTAATCGATTGAGGTGGTTATGACATACATATTATGTGTGCCGACACCACCGCCTACCTGCACGAGCAATGCTTCTTAATCTAGATGTACGTTGGAAGAAAGCTGAATTAAGCCAAATCAAAACGTGGTATCTGTTCATGAAGTGACTGACTGTTGGGTTTGAGTCATTTGATAAATGCAGACTAAATGGTTGGGGTTCGCATGATCACCGTAATTAGTGGTTTTAAACGCTGGGTGATATGGTTCAGAATCGTTCACAATGGCGCAGATGAATCCACTACTTTTCTTTCTTACTTTCTTCCATACATGTTTTTCTTTACTATCCCTTCAAACCATATCCCCAAGGTCAAGTTCTTTCCATCGTTGCTACTGAGTTATTTGCTATTTTAATCTGGTATGGTAAATTGGGTCCACGCATGTCCGTGCCAAGCTCTATGTTGATGATTGATGTCAGTCGGTCTGATAGACAAAAGCTAAGATTGAATATGATAAGGTTTCATCATTAAATAAATATGATTATACACTGTGTACTTTTATGCCTTAAAGGACCAAATTTTTAAAATTTCAGTTATAAAGTTGTATCACTACTAGTAAGTTAACTGCTAAATGTGTCTTCCTTGGTGAAGATGTGACATCTGTCAATAGTAGATGATCACCACTTTGTAATCATGTCAATTTCGTACCGTTTGTGCTTTTTTGTTTACTACCTATTACAGACAGTTATATGTTTACACGATTGATAACTATCACAGTGTTGAATCCGAAATTGGTTCCGTATTCTAAATTGATGTCATCTTTGATTATCTATTTTGTTTGCATCTTATGTTTATGGTATTGGGATCTCTGTTAAGTTAATATGATTTTTGAGTCATTTCTCAAATAATGTATTACTATTACCAACCTGATCATAAACTGATGTGAATTCTGTAATTATATTCAGAATATTTAATATTATTATTATACAACACCAGTTGACTAATAGGTATACTAATTCTGTTGGCAATACGAGTTCAGCTCCATGAACAATTTATTAATTCGCTAAACTCAAACTAATCTACTAGACAATCCTGCTAATATAAATCTATTTTTGTTATTAGTTTAATACGCACGACAACAATAAAAAAACAGAAGACTAACGTTCTTCTTCAATTGAGGACCAATGTTCAACCCATCGATCATCACGGGCACTTTGTTTCATTTGTTCAAGCATTTCCACTTCATGTGGACGTTGACAACGGGAACGTTTGCATGCAAATAAGAACTGTTTAGTAAATTCTAAAGGATCGATTTCTGGTGATTCATACAATTGGTATTTTGGATGATACTCTTTCAGATGTTCAAGCACGTGTAAATAACATGTTGAAACAGAATTTACATTATTAACTATTTGACCAGATAAAGGGTTTCGAATACGTGAACAGTTTTCATTTAGGCGAGCAATAACTGGGCACACTAATTCATGAAGTTCAATTAAAGAACGTTCTTGAAAATGTTTAGCGACATCGCTAAATTTGCCATTGGATTGGCGCAGAATATCACGAACTAGAAAGAAATGCATAAATAATCGATTCTCATTAGTTTGTTTTAAATAAGTTTTTGATATCATTTGTAAAATACAAATAACTAAGTAAATGAATACATGTTAATGCTTTAAAATATATTTCAGGTATTATTTATGTAGGGGAATAAGAAAACTTTTTTAAACTTAGATTACCTCTGAGGTTTTATTGTATTAAAACATGACTGATTTACCAGTCACAAGTTCATTTACGCTACGTTTAGTGTTGCACTGTTTACAAGAACTAGCGACACCATTCGACAGTTCAAACTGACAATGGAGAGGAATTCGAAATTGAGACCAACTGGTGGAGAACCGAGTGCTTTAATTGCTAAGCCATACATTAACAGCGACTTCCTTAACCATACAAGGACACTAACTTGACCACGAGTAAAATATTCAGGCAAAGCTATTAGTTGAACAATTTAAAGACCTCTATTAATAGAATAATTTTATTAGTAATCCTAGCCACAAAAATGATTTAAATCTTAATATACGCTACTATCGATCCAGCCTCAGTTTTCTATGCCAATCTTCATAAACTAGTTGGTGTATCTCCAAACTGAATAAAAGTTATCGTGACTACATACTTAAACTTTTTTTGGTGTCGTGTTGTATCGTGTTCCTAATTACAGTTCATTTCTCTCTTCCACTTCGTTATATTATTGGTACTTGCCTTTGTGTGGTGGACTTCTCAGTGTTTAGTTGTATGAAAAGCTTTTCTGTGCCATGAAGAAGTAAATTAATAGAAGTTTCACAAGAAAAGCACAATTATCAAACCCAAATAAACCAGCCAATGCAAAAAAAATTGAATTGACATTTTCAAATAGTTTTTTAAAATAAAACTAACGCTTCGTATGGATTATATAAGTAGTAAGACAAATTTATTAGAATTATTAGTATATACATGGTTTAATAGATGAATATAATTTAAAAAGTCAAATGAATATCAAAAACGTTCCATATTCATATACACTGTTACAGTGAATTACAGCTAACAATTTGTGAAGAGAATTAATGTCCTTACATAGATTTATTTTGTGAACTTGAAAAATAAACACATTTCAGTGAATTATACTGACTAAATAAAACTATTCCTATATCATCAAAAATATTTCTCGAAACAAAACACTAAAGAAGAAACTAATAACCTACCATCGCTAGCCATTTCATTTATATTAAGCCATGGAAAAAGAGTGTCTGTCATTGTGGAAAGCCAACGAAGAAGTCTCCTTAATCCGACAGCTGCCGGTGAACTGACTGGATGAGCGGATAGACGATGAAGAACTTTCGTAAGTAAGCGATAAAGTAATGAGCGCTGTACAAATGTAAAACAATAACATAAACCGGTCATAATAAGACAAAGTATGCTAATATGCACATGATAATACTAATGCGACCAATGAAAACGATATTTCAACCCGACACTTCATTCATAATCACTAACATAAAACACAACAAACAGTCAATTACTTTATGAAATAAAGTCAGTCAGATACAAAATAGGACTAGACACATATATGCATCGGTACAAGTTCCCATACCTCATTAGCACTACAAAAACACCAAATTCATAGAAGTAGTTACTTCATTGTTAATAATATATGAAAAAGGATTTCATATGAGGATATGATACAGGGAGAAAGAATTAGTTCGTAGAAAGAAAGGTATAAAGTAATCTCATATATATATTTTTGCAACACAATAAGAAAATGCGATTATGACAAAATAGGGAAAGGAAGGTGAATATAATGAATGAAAAAAAACACTAAGTGGATAAAAATAAGCTAGCCAAAAGACAATGGGGGGATTGATTATGAATACAGTGATCTTGAGTACTGTTTGAGGTATGAGAGCGGTTACCGTTTCCCGGTCTCCCATATCGTGGAAGGGTTTATTTAGAGGCACATGAAAAGGAAATTCGGTTAGAAGTGGTCTTAGTGACTAGAGAGCGTGACCGCACTGCCCAAGCGGAAAATGCTTGTGGCCGGTCACACACGACCTTTATGTGAGTAGTCTTCGTGTTAGCTCCGTACTTGTTGAGACCTTACCGCCGGAGACGGAAATTCGTGGGATAAAGTGGGGTGGGAGTTCATCCCTTGTGGGAATGCAACATCGTTGTTATGCTGGTTGTCAAGGTAGTCGCAACGGTCAAGATATGAAATAAAGGCACATTGTTAAACCTCATTTCACAGTTAATAGTTTGTTTATTTACCAATCTACTGGTTATTCATGCACAAGTTTACATAAAGATCATCGATTTGAAACATTTTAATATGATCTCTTTTTGAAGCATAGATTTCATTCAACGTGACATTTGTTGACTAAGCATTAGAACAAGATACCATAATTTCAATGAATCAACACTTAATACACATTAGAAAGTAGATTTCTAGTCTCGCCTAGTATTCCCCTTTTAAAAAGAGTGGTGAAATTAAAGGCCTTTTATAAAAAGGTTATCAAATTATAGGTTCCTGATATTCGGATACTTTGAATATACAGGGTACCATGCAACAGTGTTATGTTTTCAAGTAAGAACGACAAATATTTTCCTTTAATTAATATTACTCATAAAATATGTAATATATTGTACATATTAAAGTGTAAAACAAATTTAACAATTAAGGGATCATTTTTATACTAAGATTGAGAAAACAAAATAACTGATTAACAAGACTTACCGGACTTGTCCAAATTTGCTCTGATTCCTGATCAACCAGCCATTGTGCATTGATTGGTGGAGGAGTTGAACAAATTTGATGGTAGTAACGTGAACTCGATGAGCTAGATGAACTATAACGTCTACGATTGTTCTGATTAGTATTGTTATCATGCATTGTGGATTCATGAAATAAACTAGATTGTATTGAACTACTTGATTCAGTTTTAAGTAATGATGATGTATTAACAGTAAGTGGTAATTGTTGGTTTTGTAAAACAAATGTTTCATTTGATGAAACCGTATGATTACATGTATTTATGATGGGATCCATCATATTTGATGTTTTGTAAGAAGTATCAATTTGTAAACATTGTTGTGATGATGAATAAGATAACGAGCTACAACCATTACTAACTGGATCTAAAGAAATATCAGCCGTATTATTGAACGTGTCGTTGTAAACAGTTTCACATGACAATTTATCAGAATGATGATGCACTGGATCGTTTATGATATTATCTGGGAGCGTAGGAATAGGATTAACGGAAACAGTATTAAATTTAGCATGTTCTGCCACAGCCGGATCCCATAAAGAAGCGGCAGCTTCAACTGCAGCAGTTAATTCATCTCCAGAGTCAGAATCACACACTCCATCATACTGTAGACATATATTAAAAAAGGTTTAGAAAGAAAATGGATTTCAATTTATAAAAGTTAAATTTAACTTATATATAACCCCTAAACGACTTGGTACGGTCGAGGGTGAAGATAGTCCATTCTCCCCTTCGAAATGTTCTCACGTGGCTACACATATATAGTCGCTGCCAGGGAAGTATTATTGACTGAATTTTCGCGGCATGAGTGTTGTTTACGAAAGTAAGAGGACAAAAGGCGAATGTCCGACGCTTAAACCAGATTGGTGGGTACGAAGGATCCACTAAGGGGAGTTATAAAACCCTGATTCCAAACTAATGGCGGCATATGGGCTCCAGGATCATGAAGGAACAAATGGCGTATGAACCCATTCTTGATCACCAGCTACCATGGATTGCATCAGCAAACGTTGCTCTAATGCCTCGTGGATTGAATCTCTAGGTCCAATGTTCGAGGAGTGACCTCCCAATAAAACTATCTGCATCGGTTTGGACAACCAAGCAGTATCCGAGCCCTCAGACAAATTTTATATGGTGCATATATTTTTGGTCATGCTTTGTACCTATGTTTATGTGTTTAAATAAATAAAATCTATAGACTGATTTCCAACAATTGAATAAGAATGTCACAAACTAAATAATGAGTCAAACTAATTGTTGTTCTTACACTTCTCCATGAAGATAAGCACATTTATGTCAGACTATACGTTAAATAACTAACTACTTACAAGCATGTATTCAGTAGATATAGACTGTACACTTATTGTTTGAAGATAGTAATAATACTCGTGAGATCACTTTCCCAACTGTTAAACTTTAAGAAATTTCCCCTTCAATTTTTTTCTGTTTCCCAGTTTATGGTACTAAAAAAGGAAAGTAGCCATACTTTTAAAAACATAATAATAGTAATAACCTGAGTAATAGTAATGATAATATTATGACTAAGACACTTTACCTGAGGTAGGTATTGTTTCACTGTAGTTGATTCATCTTTATAATTGGTATTACTCCAATAACCAGGTGATTTACCACTAGAACTAGCCATTGTATTAGTGGGACTATGAAAGTAAGTTGACGATGGTGAGTTCACTGATGAACCATCACCAGGACCACCACCACTACTGGTGATAGTTTGATGATCAATTCGATTAGATTTGCGACAAACTTGCACTAAACCAGCCATTCTTTCCATTAATGTATCTTGTGCTAAAGTCCGCAGTTGATTTGCGCCATTATTATTATTATTTCTGTTGTTAATATTTGAACAGTGCTTACTCCGACTTATGATTGAAGCATCTTCTGTTTCTTTATTTTGATCGCTGAATTCACTTTCATCATCCGATGCAGTTTGACCTGTAGAATCTAATTGCTGTTTGGATGAAGTATTATTATTGTTATTGTTACTACGAGAGGTGTTTGACTTTTTTTGTTGACATTTTTGTTCTCTTTGACAAACGGAACAAGAAACAACAAATTTACTCAGTTGCCCAGCTGACATTCTTGCAATTAATTCATATTCATCAACTATGAGAAAGATGAAAAAGGGATAATGTTTGTTTTTTTTAAGAAAAATATTACAACAATTAAAATCATGATTTTCAATGCTAAAACTCGAAAAGAAAGTGTAAAAGTTGAACAAATAATAGAAAGTCGATACACCAGGATAAAATCACCCTCAGGAACCAGAAAACAAAACCAAATCGTTCTACAGCATGTGATAAATATTTTAGAAATCATTGTAAGGGTTTCTAAAGCCTTTGGGATTAAAGTCACGTATAAGAGAACAGAAACACTATTAAAGTTTCTTCATGTACAACAGATAAAGAAGATAAATGCAATATTATCTACAAAAGAAACTGCACCAACTGTGACAAGTATTACGTTAGACAAAATGGACTCTCCCCTCTATCTAAGTATGTATAAACAGGCTAACAGTGGAACAACATATCACTAACATCAGTACACTCACACAGTCACAGACACGAATTAGATTCGGGAAACACTAAAGTTTCAGATCAAGGAAATTCAAGATTTTACAAAAACGTTCTGCGAATATGACACTCAGGTCAATCTACAATCAGTAAGCGTATCAACATAGACCCTACTTTCCAAACAACGTTTTAACTACTTCGTTCCCAACAGCTAATTTTCAGTACCATTTATTACACGAGAACAAAAATAGGACTCAAAGCCGAGTGTACGTAAACCTTTACTTGGAAAATGAGTTACTTATTTCAAAAACTCAATTGGAAACTTTAATTTAAACCTAGTGTTCCAATTACTGGGCTAAATAAAAAATTAAACAGTTACCAAGCGCGCATTAAAACTTATTTACTACAAACCAACCTAAGAAATTTTCACCACTCAATGCTCATTCTTCTTTGATACATTTATGATTATAATTGACTCATCAATCATGCACAGAATCGCATACTTGGCTTTGTTCCACGCTCTAAATGAGAATGCTAGTGATACTACTAAGTTTCCGACGCAATTTTAAACCATCTAAGCCAAAACTAACTGCATAAGTCTACTGACAGTCAGTCAGTCAGTCACAACGTAGAACTTCGTACGTACGTACGTACATCAGTTCGAGTTGCCATACCACATTAGCACACAGATGCAGTTGTCGATTCAAATCCCATAGTGGTAGAAGTAGTAGGAGTATAATCAGAAATCCAAAAGATTAGGGTTTGAAGAAATTATTGAAGGAGTATAGTACAGTGAAATAAATTTGGAAAGAGAAAAATATAAAGACATGAGGAATTCAGAAGATTAGAATTTCGTAGAACACAAAGAGTGGATGCATCTTCGCCATTGCAAACGATTTTGAGCCATGTCATTCAAGGTCTCTAACCATCGGTTGCTGTCATCTCGCGAATCCCAACCAGGTAGTCTACACCTACCAACATGGCCCAGTCCACTTGTCAGTGACTTCATTGATTTGTGCCACGTTTTGGTTTGGCCACCCCTAGCTTTCTTCCAACCTACTCCTACACCATGAAACATTGCACGTCGGGGCAGTCGGTGGTCGGGCATACGTAACACATGTCCCAGCCATCTCAACTGATGAAGTTTCACTACTTCATCAATCGATTTGCCATCCTTACCTAGTACTCGTTTCCTAACAACTGCATTACATACCCGGTGGTCCCAGGATATACGAGCAATGTTTCGAAGACACCTATGATCGGACACTAGAAGCCTACGAATATCCTCTACTCTTATCGGCCATGTTTCACTGCCATAAAGTAGGACGGAACGAACTGCTGCACAGTAAACCCGTCCTTTGGTTGCTAGACGGATATCTCGCCTACGCCATAAGTGACGCAAGTTGGCGAAAGCTAGACGAGCCTTCTGTATCCGTGCTGAGATTTCGTCACACACCAGACCACAAGGGCTGATGAGACTCCCAATATAAGTGAAGTGGTCTACACGCTCAACTACTTCACTCCCTATCATTAGTTCAGGTGTCGATGCAACCCAATCCTGAAGTAACATTTTGCACTTCGAGGGAGAGAATCGCATTCCGAACATGCCTGCATAGTTGCTTATAGTGGTCAGAAGACTCTGCATGTTGTCAGCGTCTTCACCGAGTAAAACTATGTCGTCGGCGTATTCTAAGTCAACAAGTGAGCCTCCTGGTAAAAGTTCAACTCCTGGAGGTTTAGCTGATGAAAGTGCTACCTCTAAAAGTATGTCAATGACAAAGTTAAACAAGAATGGGGAGAGTGGACAGCCCTGACGAACGCCACTTGTGGTAATCAGTTCTGATGACAGTTCGCCATAGGCTCTAACTCGACCAGTTGTGTTCGAGTAGAGAGCCTTCATGAGGTTAATGTACTTCTTTGGTACTCCTTTCAGTGACAAACATTGCCATAGAACCTCACGATCAACAGAGTCAAATGCCGCCTTAAGGTCAAGAAATACTACTATTGTGGGACGTCTGAATTTGTGTCTATGTTCTAGAACCTGACGTAGGGTGAATATCTGGTCTATGCAACCACGTCCAGGTCGAAAACCAACCTGGTTTTCTCTAGTCTGCTCTTCACGAGCTTTGGTTAGTCGACCTAGTATTATTGAAGCTAATATTTTAGACACTATATTAGTCAAACTGATCCCTCTGTGATTGTCACAGGAGGACTTTTGTCCTTTCTTATAGACTGGCACAATCAGTGATTGGGACCAGTCAGATGGAATTACGTCCAGTTCCCAGATTCAACCTAAGACCTCAGTCAATCTCACTGCTAGTACTGGACCACCATCCTTAAAAATCTCAGGGGTCAACCTGTCAGGGCCTGCTACTCTCCCTCGCTTCAGATTTCCTATAGCTTTTTCAACCTCACAGAGGGTTGGAGGACTTACATCAATTTGCCATTCAGGACGACTGGGGATCGTGGGTAATTGAAGTGTGGCTGAAGGCCAGTTGAACTGATCCCTAAAGTGTTCTGCCCATCGATCCAACCTCCTGGATTGAGAATGAATAATATGCCCATCTTTATCTGAGATGGTTTCACTGATATTCGGGTTCCTAATACCGGTTTCTTTAACGAGTCTGAATAGCTGCCTACTGTTACCTATTGCCGCTGCCTTTTCCATCTCTCTTGCTTTCGCTACCCACCACTGTTCACGATCATTACGTAGACTTCTTATAAGCCTGCGCTTAAGTTGACTCCGCTCTTCGTTATGCTCAGAGCCAGGTGGGATGAGTTTACGAGCATCTATCAGTGCGGTAGATGCTGCCGAGATCCATTGTTTCTCCCTAACGTTATGGTTTACCTTATTAGCGGATATCACTGCTGTTTCCACAGCTGTCATTCCACGCTGCCTCGGGGTGGACACAACTTACATGGCTGCCTAACTGTTTTTCTAGTTGTTCCTGAAATATATTCTTAGCTTGCCTGTCATTAAGTAGAACCCTTAGAGGCTTCCCTGCAGTGTCTTTCCTACGACCAGTAAGACACAGACAGATACGTGCTCGCACTAGAGCATGATCTGAATGTAAGCATGTGCCCCAGATTGAGCGACAGTCTTCTATCGAGCCCCTCCATCGGTGGCTGATAGCGATGTGATCTAGTTGGGTCCAACGTTGGGACGAATTCGGGGGTCGCCATGTCAAAAGATGTTTTTCCTTATGCTTAAAGTTAGTATTTGCAAGAAATAGGCGGTTATCTGAGCACAGCTGCAACAGACGGTCGCTATTATCTGTTCTTTTAGCCGCGACACTATAAGATCCACCCAGGTGTCTTTCCCTTTCACTTAGTTTACCTACTTGAGCATTAAAGTCACCTGCTACTATTACTATATCAGAACGCCTAGCTTCTCGGAGAAGGTCAGAAAGTTTCCTGTAGAACTCATCTTTTATATCGGCTGAGCTGCAGTCAGTGGGAGAGTAGGCAGAGACGACGAAGAGACAACGAATAGTTTCCCTATCTTTCCGAGTCCTTACTGATCCGTTTAGTCGGACAGCGCATAGACGACTGTCTACTGGGATCTAGTCTAAAAGAGCTAGTTCTGTCCCAGGACTTAATGCTATACCTACTCCAGCGAGACCACGGGAAGCAGCGTCAGGGCTTCCAGACACACGAAGTGTGTATCGAGATGAAACTTTATTTTGATTAGGTGCGGTCAAATGAATGACACTACTCGGATCTTGTATGAGCGTTTCGGAGACGCAGCACACATCGATGGTGTAAAATTCTAGAGTCCTAGCTAAGGAAGCCTGTTGTCCTATTTGGCACAATGTTCGGACATTAAAAGTTCCTATATGTAGTTTAGAGCGTGGTTTCAGGAGACCAGGAATAACGTTCTGTGTACTCAAATCGTTTGCCCTAGCGGTGAGAGGTGATAAAAGGACGTGGGAAAGGTTAGTCGTGGAGATAACAGAGTTGTTATGTGGTGTAGGAAGGATTTGAAAGCGACCAACTTGGTCTTGTGTGCAGTTAAGGGTATGAGGGCTAGTATCACTTCCCGGTTGCCCACACCGTGGAAGGGTTCTCCTGAAGGTACCTGAAAAGGAAATTGGGTTAGAAGTGGTCATAATGACCTGAGAGCGTGACCGCAGTGCCCAAGGGACATCTGCTTGAGGCCGGTCACGCACGGCCTTTTTGTGGGGGATTTTTGACGTGTTAGCTCCGTTCTTCAAAAGTCCTTACCGCCGGAGACGGAAATCCGTGGGATAAGGCGAGGTGTGCATTTTCGGGGTCGACCTTTTCTAACCCCACCCCTCCTTGTGGGAAGGCAGCATCGCTGTCATGCTGGTTGTCTGAATGAAACACCTTACTGCTTCCACACCTCTGTACAGTCAGCAGTACGACTTCGCCTTCGGACCTCGGGATTGCTGCTTTTAGTCTCACCGCTCTTCAACCGACCTGTCTGGCATGGTAGGACCTTGAGGAACGATTGTTCCAGCCAGCATAGCTCGATTGGATCGTCTACTGACAAAACTGATTTAAACATAGTTGAGAAAAGAAACTACAATCACATCAATAGCTTATATACAAAAGTAAAAGAAAGGATTTAAAGATAGCATACCAGTTAATTTTGTACATGTTCTATGCATCCAAAGTTGGCAACTATCACACTGGATCATTTGTTTAGTAGTTGGTAAATAAGCTCGATCACATTCTGGACAAACATCACCTTTAGATTCTGCCTGACTACATGCAGCACATTTATTTGTTTCATATGACCAGGCTGTATAACTTCCACGAACCGTTGAAATAGGTGTAGTACCATCACTAGTCTCAGCTGGTTTACAAGCTCTAACTCCACAATGTAAACATACTGAACATTCAGGACAAGTCTATGTTACCATGAAAATAAAGAAAAATTATGATACCTTTATTTTCGAAATGAACAATAACAAGCATGAAAATGTAAGAAATAACCATGTGAAAATAAGTTTTATATCTCTATAGGATAAAAAAAGAATAGGTGAATTTTTGTACACTCACATTCAAAGGGGTATCTTTTTGAAATGAAAAATGAAAACTGATCGTCCGGCAACTAAAACGGGTTAGTTAGAAAACTGATTTTCAATCAATGGTCTTCATGGCCTTCAGGATCTTGAGGTAACCTATTTTTAGTCACCCAATACCATGGAACGGCAGCTCCTGACGCTACTCCACTATCATTTAGACTAGACCTTCAAGTCGAAGACTAAGAGAGTAACCAACCAAGAAAACCATCTGCTTTTGTTTGGTTGTCTGGACAGTATCCCAGTCCGCATACAAATTTTATTTTGTATACAGCATTTTATTTTTAGCGATCAGCCGTACCAGATTGAGTATAAATTAAATCAATAAAATAGAATACTATCCACAAGGCGATCTATAGACCATGAATAAGTTGTTAACATAACAGAATGTTCCTATCAATGAAAGTTAGTGAATAATTTGTACTAAGTGTTTCTAGCATTTATCAACAACTTTAAATTGTAACAATAAACTTGTCTCATACAATAATAAATGATTACAAAATTATAATTATACTTGACGCAACTAATTAATCAAAAGCGGCAGTAATATAATAAACTGATTTCTTAGCCTGAAAATTATTTTGATACAATTCTCAGAGTAGCAAAGGTAACAGTATTATCAGTAGTACTAAAAAAGATTGAGCACAAAAAAAAGGGGGAAGAAGGCATAAGGAGATTTCGGAACTCAGATTTTAAGGAAAGAGGCAGAGAGTGAAAGCAGACATGTAGCACTTCTACTGGTTTTTCTGAAAATACAAAAGTAAACTTTTAAATATGAAACTTCAGATTTTCCTAGTTATTTTGGGGCGATTCGTCGTCATGTAAATCCCTTCATTAAAGTATAACACTACTGTAAGAATTCTTCCATTTGTCAACTTCATTTACGTCATCATAATGTCCAAATAATTTAAGTAAAAATTAAACTCAACCTTTAATTGTTTATTATTCAGTGCTTCTCATTATGTGTAAACTACTATTTAAGTATAACTGATTAAATAATTGTGGTCAATGTTTTTCTGACCAACAAATTTCAAATAAGGAACGCTGTTTTGCAATAAATATCTGAGTTACTGATTAACGGACAAAAATATTTGAGAATAGATGATTTCAGTAATAATTAATAAAATTATTCCGTACACATTAACACGATTGTTTAATACATTATCGTTTAACCAGGCTAGGAGATTGATTCTAGGTCATCATTTATTTATATTTGACTCACAGTTTCCAATGGACTTATTCTAAGGATAGTGTTTTGTTAACAACTTCATTGGACATAAATGTTTGAAAAAATAGACATTCTGAAAATAGTTAACCCTACCCAACATCCTCTTTGACTAGTTTTAGCTGGTGGAAAATCGGCTAAACATTCTGGATGATAGCCAGTAGAACAACGTATACAACGTAGATCTGAAGCTGGACGACGACAAACTTTACATGTGGTGCAATTTCGACATACAAAATGTTCTTTCCTACGGGGTCTGAATTGCCGTTCAACGCAGTAGAAATGGAAAGGTTCAGCACAGGATACACAAAAAAGTAACTGGAAAAAAGGAAATACAAATAAATATATCATAGATTATGTTATTAATCAATCCAAAAAATCAATTGACCTAAAAAAAATGTTAACTGATGACAATAAACTTACGTATTTGAAATGCGATACATGATTAAATATCATACTGTCGGTCTCGTTTGATTTAGAGAATGAATATTTTTAATACTAAGTACCGTGAACAATTTACTGAAATAACTGAAGTTTTTCTTTCCCGAGCGTCAGATAACTCACACAGAGAGAAATTCAATATAACCTGGAGGATTTTTTTAATTCACCGAAGGGTATTGGTTGAGTGTGTGTACATTTAAGATGTAAAGAAGTATCGAATACATACATAAAATATAGTGACTGTGGAATCAAGATATGGACACAGTTATGAGCAAGGCCTTACATCCTTTATACAAAATGCTTGATGTTAGTGATTTTTGTATATATTAGCTACTTGATAGGATATGTGACATGGAGATGAAACCGTCAAATCATCGAAGTAATAAGTTAGGTAGTTAAAATGTTTTAATCATTGGATGAACAAATCACCAACAATATGTGTTATCATACAAAACCTATGATCCGCACGAATGATAAAGGCAAAACATGTAAAACGGATGTTGTTTTAAACAGATACTAAAAGCATAAATAGACGTTCTACTAATCTCCTATCGGTCTACCAGTCATAAACGAAGTAGGCCTTGGGGGTCAAATTTACATCGGGTCAAGCTATCATACTTCATATCGGCTCAATAAGAGGAAATTAACAAGAAGAACAAAGAAATTGAAATAGTAGTAATAACAAGGATAACAAGGATTAAACATAAACAACAGGATTCAAGAAAAAAAAGAGTGAAATCGAGGCATAAAAGTAGTACTAATAAAATTCAACATCTATTTTAAAATAAGTAATGAATACATTCATGTTACGGTGACTAAAGAAATCTGAGCCATATCATCACCTAAGGTCTTGATCTATAGATAAAGATTATTTCATGAACCACAACAATCAATCTAATTCATAGACCGATTCCAGATCTTAGTTTGGCCGCTCTCTTTTTTTTTAAAACTTATTCTTATACTCGATTTTGTTTTGCATACTTAAGTAGGTAGTGACAGTAGGAAAATGGAATGTAAAATGTGACTCTAAAGATAAAGACGCCAACCCTTAATTGGTCATTCTCGCCTGTTGTGTCTAAATATACAGAGTAGTCGATAGTAATGAACAGTGTTATCTAACAGAGTATAAACAAATAAACTGATATTTCTGAACATGCTAGTGATGAGGAAGGAAATGTACATCTAATGAAATCAGCAGACTGATAAGCTGAACTGAACAATAAGTACAGAAATAGAAACATTGTAAGAATATTCTACTAAAAAAACTGGGTTACAATACAAACTAACAAATTAAAGCACAGCACACGAGTTTTCTTTAACTGACCTGACCTCCACCACTACCACATGCGTAACAGATTTCTTTAGGTGGAGCAGCTGCCAATGTTGTTACAATCGCGTAACCTCCGTGTGTTGCCAAGTCACTGTCAATTACTTCCTAAAACGAGAATAAGTGGATAAGTGAAAATTAATGCTATTTACTAATTGAAAATTTTTCAAGATAAATCACATAATACTACATTTGTTGAGCGATAGTACAAATATAGAACCCTCTATCTTACTATTTAAGTAAATAAACTGATTTGCGTAAAATAAGAAATATTTCTATTCAATAGGGGAACGGATTGTTCAGTTACGAACCACTTTACTTAGACACTGGATTTAAACAAGAAAATCAAGTGAGTACTATCCGAAGCATAAGATACACCAAGTAATCATCAAAATGACATTTAAAAATACATGATTAATCATTAACGAGTGAGCTGAAGTATATATTATTAGGATGTCCAAGAGAATGATAAGAGATTTCAAACTTTGAACCCGAATTTCTTGAAAACCCAACAAAAACTTAACCGCAAAGGTTGATAACCACATATAGGTCAATGTATTATGTTGTATGTGTGACACCAATCTGATAACCTGATCAAAGTCGACGACTTTATACACCAAGTCGATATATTCAGTCATAGATTCAGCCTCCGAATGCCCTGCTACGGTCGAGAGTCGGCAGAGTTCGCTCTCCCTCTCTAAATGCACTTACATGGCCACGCGTATACAGCCACTGCTACGGAAGTCTTATTCACTGCCTTCTGGTGGCGAGAGTGTTGTTTACAAAAGTGAGAGGACGAAAAGTGAATGTCCGGCGCTTTAACCGGGTTGGTGGATACGGAGGGTACACTTGAGGGAGTTGGAAAACCCTGACTCCAAACTAATGGTGCACATGAGTTCCAGTACCTGAGGAAACGAATGGCGTATGAATCGATCGTTGGTCACTGGCTATCACGGGACTGCATCTCCTTACGTTGTTCCACCCTGGGTAATGAGCAGATGGAAGTAGTTGAGAAGTTCGTGTATCTAGGTAGCTGCATAAGTGCTAGTGGTGGCATGAGTGATGAGATTGATTCACGTATAATGAAAGCCAGAGCGACTTATGCCAATCTGGGCCATCTTCTGCGCCTTCGTGATGTTAGTCTGGCTTTAAAAGGTCGGATCTACAACGCGTCGGTGAGAGCAGTTTTGCTCTATGCTTGTGAAAGCTGGCCTCTCCGAGTTGAGGGTGTTAGACGACTCTCTGTGTTTGATCATCGTTATCTCCGAAGGATTGCAGACATCTGTAATGTTTATTGATATGTTGGGCCCGCATACTTTATTCTTGCTTCTAAACAAGCTAATTTACCCATCCATCTTGAGTCACGTTTTGACCTTTTCAATTATTCACTTATCAACCCTGACTGTTTTTATATGAGCGTATGTGTGTGCACACATCTTTTCCTATTCATCACATGTTTGTAATTTATTTTTATCGGACTATAAATATTGATTAACGCTTGATTAAAGCGAGTTGGATTACCCGCCATCTCCAATGCACATCATTTTTGCTTCGCTCTCTCCTATTCGCTTCATCCCTCTGATTTCCTGTCCAGATCAATGTACAAAATATGTATTCAAAATCTATTCTCGTATTTGACTTATCTGACTCCGTTATTCATTAACGCGGATTAAGTCATGTATTACATACGAGGATAGATAGGATGTATATTTTGACAACAATCAATCATTCATATGATCCAAACTGAAGTCAGTTCTGGCCCCTATACATCCAGTGGCAACACCATGTTAGTAATGTAGAGGTTCGGCATCGTGTGTTCGGGCGCAGAGACGATAATTCAATTGATGTCACCATCTTGATACATCGACTTCGGTTGCTTGGACATGTTCTACGAATGTCGTCCCAGAGACTTCAACGTCGTGCAATATTTGCCGACTCTGAGACTGGTTGGAAAAAGCGGAGAGGTGGTCAGTGTATGACATGGTGTCGTGGTATGAAAGAAAGCTACATAGGACTGGCTTCTGTCGGTCCTTCACGACTCCCTGGTTGGGGTCCTGGTGCAACATAGTCGCTAGAGACGTTATCAAATATGGCTCAGAATAGAAGCCAATGGCAATCCTGCTGTAACCTTTTACTTTCCTCATAAAAAGTGGCCGTAACTTCTTTGATTGAAAGAATTCTTTCTGGTTGTACCTTTCTATTTCTCCCACTACTATTATTTTTTTATTACCATACACCAATTTGTGGTCGTTATTGTTCTTTTTTCTTTTATACGCACCTTACACTTTTTATCTCTCCCCATTCTGATTGTTATTATGTGGCGCATATGTATCTGGTGCCCCCTTGTACCAATATTTAGGTGTTCAAATAAATAAATGTTATGGATTCGAAAGACACTACTAGAAATATTGTGGCCGAAACCGTGGCATGATAAAGAAACAATCTACTTACGGTGATAAATTACGAAAATTTTAATCTAGGTGTTACCATCTACCACTACCAAAAAGTGAAATCCGATTTTAGTCAAGTCATAAAAATCACCTATACGTTTTGGGCATGAAAAACTTAAGGTTCAATTCTATCAACATTTTGAGGATGAGTTATATCACCATCAAATTGATTCCTGAAGAAGCCAAAAAGGAGTTATACGAAACCATAACAGTAAATTCTATCTGAATCAGTCAGTCAGCTACAAAGTAGGACCAGGTACATATATGCATCGGTCCAAGTTGCCATACCTCGTTAGCACAACAAGATCAACACCGGATTCATGGAAGTTAATAATTTCAGTGGTGGTAGTACATAAAAGATAGGTTGTATATAAGGATATAGTATAGGAAGGAAGAAAGTTATGAAGCAATTTTAATCTCATAATTTAAGGGAAGACAAATAGTGTATACACCTACGCCATTGTGATCGATTATGAGCCATGTCACACAGAGTCTCCAACCATTGGTTGCGATAGTCACACGGACCCCAACCAAGTAGTCTGCATCTGACAACATGGCTCAGACTAGAAGTTAGTGACTTCAAGCACTGATGCCATGTTTTTGGTTTGGCCGCCCCTAACTCTCTTCCAACCATCCCCAATACTAGTCAGCATTGCGCGTCGTGGTAATCGGTGTTCAGGCATACGTAACACGTGGCCTAACCATCTCAGTCGATAAAGATTCATGACCTCATCAACTGATTTACCATCATTCCCTAATACTCTGTGTCTAACCTCATTATTACATACCCGGTTATCCCAGCAGATGCGAGCAATATTTCTAAGGCATCTGTGGTCAAATACTAGTAACCTACGAGTACCTTCTACTCTTAATGGCCATGTTTCGCAGCCGTAAAGTAGAACAGAGCGAACTGCTGCGCAGTATACGCGTCCCTTAATTGATAGACGAATATCTCGTCTTCGTCATAGGTGACGTAAGTTGGCAAAAGCCAAACGAGCTTTCTATCTGAATACTGACCAAAACTTTACGATGATAAATTACTAAGTCTAATACACAATAAAGAAAAGCTAAACGCTAGTTCACAAAAATGTAGGTTTGTATCTCCTTACTGACAGTCAACACAAAGACAAATCAATCTAGTATGAGCATTTAAGTCCCTGAAAAAAGTGATTAATTGTGACTGATTGATGTAGGATACGAACTCAAAATTAGATGTGATAACTCTGATGTAAAACTCATGAATAATCACTTCACATAATAAATGAAAATAACTTTACCCCTTCAACTGGACGGACACGATCTAAATCTTCATTTTCATCATTCTCTTCAGTAATCGAATTGAAATGCATTCCTAAATCTCCACCACGAACAGGTGTTACTTGAAGTTCAGGACCGACATTTAAATTGTTTACAGGATTTCTATGCTTACGACGATATGAATTATTTATTCCATTGGCGTGGGTTTTTCGAGAATAACTAGATGGTAGCCATGTATCTAATTCAAGCTGTTGCGCTAATCCAGGTACAGTTTGTAGTAAACTAACTGATTCATCTGGTTCATCTTCAGATTTATTAAGGTTAGATCGATTATTTGTATGACTAGCAATATTCATTGATAAAGCACCTTTATATCCACTTATAGGTAAGTTTGAAGTTGAACCAGGTGAAGGATAATTTGATGGAAATTTAACCTACAGACAAGGAAAAAAAGTGTAAAACAAGTATAGAAGAAAAACACCTTTTATTAAAAAGAGTAGGCTATATTTTCGGTAAATATATCCTTTAAAAAAAATGCATTGTCATGACAATAATAATTTTGTAGGCGCCTCAATAATTTTATAGAAATTTGTGATACACTAAAATTTGGTACATTTAAAAAGTTATCGTTTTTATATAACTTATTATTTGAAATATAAATGTGGATCACAAGGGGTGTCAAATAGAATAAACTAGTATTATTATGTACTCAAATTAACCCTAGTATCCTCGCATAGGGCATCAATAGTTGGGCAAGCGTTACACATATGCTGACTATCACAACTGATGTAGGTTCACAATTTCACCAACAGATATAACCACTATTATTTACAACAGACCCCGAAATTACATCCTCGTTGATTCCAACATACGCAAACAATTCTCTTGAGACACTTACGATCACATTTGCCAGTAGACACCAAACAAGAAATATTGCATCTAGATTACCATTGGCACATCCACAGAACCACAACTTTTGCATCAGAAACTGATTACGAATTAAGACAAAGTATTGTAAGAAGATTGTACAGAATGGTGAAAATACTGTAAGTTTATTTATCTCAGCTACCCAGCATAGGTTTAAGTACTACATTATTGCATGAAAACTGTTAGTAGAACTTGAGTGTTTAAACTACGTTGCAAAAAGAGCTGTTTGAATCCGTTAATTGTTGGGTGAAATTAAGTCCTAAACCAGTGAGTCACAACAGCAACTGATTATCTGGATATTACCGAGAAAATCAGGTTAGAAGGGAAGAAAACAACAATAAATTTGCAAGGAAAGATCGATATTATGATCAATGGAACAAGCTAACAGTGATATAAGGAGAAATTCAAATACCCCACTTCTATCTGAAGTTTGTGCCGATGATTTTGTCAAGAAGGACAATGAAAACTTGACGATTATGCCATTCAGCTCAGAGGACGAAACTTCATTGAACTTTTTCATTTGAGCTAAAAATCTTTTTACCATATTACCAGCAAACAATTAAAAATGAACTTACAATGATTAATTCCCTGAAAAATGAAGGTTAATAATATACAAAATGAGAGAAACTTACGAGATCAGATACAGACCATTTAATGCTTGGTCTGAAGTTTAAAGGTTAGGTGTGGACTATGAGACATGAAGATCCTGATTTCAATTCCCAGTAGGGTCTTGGATATGCACTTTGACAAAACAGACGTTTAGTTCTACCTGATTTTAAATTGTTGATTAACTAAAACCACTATATGATGTAAACTATGGGATGAAAATTAAAATGGTCGTGAGAACAAATAAAGAACAGCCGAAACCCTTAACTCAAAAATAATTAGGCAAACTCGGTTAACTAGCCCCATTCGATGTTCAACAATAAGGAACAGGTTAGCGACATAGAAACCTGACAAGTGAATACAAAGTAACAACAATTCATATGATTAGCAATAGGGAAGGATAATCTTACCCTTGGACCTGCCTTCATATTCTGGTCAGCAGCGGAAGCCGCAGTACGACGTCTGAGACATATGAGTTCCCTGTAAAAATGAAAGTATAGTTAGTAACATATAAATTACAAAAGTAAAAGGTTTGTACGACTTCAGTTTAGGAGTAAACACAGATACTAAATATAATGAAGTAATCATTTAGTTGTGTTGCTTGGTAGTACTTTGACTTTCATACGTAAAGCACAATATGAACCCCCCTCCCAATGAGTACAAGCTTCATTATCACTCCGTACATCTCCAAATTAAAACCGCAAAACAACAGGAACATTAGAACGTAACTAGACGGATAATACTCAACTTAAATTGCAACATATAGATCACAAACATCCCATAGAATATAGAATACAATTAGAGACATAACATGATATAAAAAAGATTTACTTGCAAGGTCTCCCTCGTGGATCATTACTGTCAACTAGGCTGGAAAAAAAACAAGTAAAACACATAGTTTCATTATTGGATAAGTATTAAAAACAAAATCGACGTCACGACTGTTTACAGAAACTGAAATAAGATAAGCTATCGTTACTACTACTCCTCAAAGCTTAAGTAGTGTAAATGATATGTATAGAAAAAGCTCAACAATAAAATCTCCCAGTAACGATATCTGTTTATCATTTATTTACAAGTACAGCAATATAGGTTACACTGGAGATGTACCTTGCAAAATCTGCAACGATCACAATTTCACAGTAAAATATTACACCAAGGAATGAAAACAATCCAGCTAACATAAACACAGTAAAATGAAATCTTTTATCTAAAAATCGGAATCCTTCAGTAATCACAACTATGAAGAGATCTCAACAATTGCTTTTGGATTTTCTATCAGAGTTCTTTTTCACAAACTTGGTTTTTGAGTCAGAAATATTCAGGAGGTATCACCAATGAATTATAAAACTCATTACAGCAAAAAGCTGTAATACGTATAGCTCGCCAGATGTCATGAAAATTCACAGTATACAGCTTATGTGACGGATAAAATCTAAAAGGAGTTAGGTGTTTCGACATAGCTAAAACAGAAAGCGAGAAAAATGGAAGTCCAAAATAAATTACATATGGCCGATAAAAAGAATTTCAAAATAAATCAACGATTAACATTTCACTAACCGACAATCATTGCAACGTCCACAAGGTTGAATAAGTCCTAAACATGCTGGGCATTGTCCACAACGATTCGGTAAATGGGTTGAATGTTGACTAGTAGACCCAGGTCTACTAGGATGAAATGCATTTTGTGGAGCAACTCCGTGACCAGTTACATGAGCATCGTCTTGTTTAGAAGCAGAATGCTTTTCTTTCATCCTGTTTGAATGAGCAGCAGAAGCGGCTAAAGCAGCATGCACAGGACTAACACCTCCAGGAACCTTGGCACCAACGGCGGCTAAGCGCGCAGCGTGAACCATAGCCGATAAAGTTGATGAATAACGACTGTCTTCTACAATTACACAGCGGAAATAGAGTCACTAATTACCATTAGCATCAAAGATAACAATATGAGGCAATAACTATACGAAAGAAATGTGGCAATAAAAGACGAAAAAACAGAAAATAAACCTATACGAATTGGGCTGATGCATTACTTTATAAAGCACATGATGAAAAAACTTACGACAAAAATGTATCATATAAGTGAATGGTAGATAATTTGAGGCACTATCGCAATTTATACGATGGCGCAAAAATATTTTGTGTAAGCAGTCTGAAATATTACGGATCAATATTTGCACAAACTGTCATCTATATAGCATCTTACTTAAATTCTCATCTCATTTTTAATATTCATAGAAAGGTAAATCAGATGAAAATAATTTAGTTACTTTCCTGAACCACTTATCGTTCTGTCATTATTTATAATTAACTAGATGATCTCTCTGCTAACACGATTTTATTGGTTGTTTATCACTGTATTATGACGGTAATTCAAAACGACCTCAGACAGTTTATGGGACGAGCAGGAAATTTTTTTAAGTGAAATGTTAATTTTTATCTTTGAAAATAAACCCTGTAGAATGAAACTGTCTATAAAATAAAAAAAAACCATATCAACTGGGAGTTTAGAAAAATTAGGAATAAGTAACAATTACTATTTGCAAATAATACAATGGAAAACAACAGTATATTTGTTACTGGTTTATTTTTTTTGACAGTTCTAACCATGTCCAAAACTACATTTGTCTGCTTTCTAGGAGGTTTACCAAGAGAATACTAAACACAGTATTCTAAGTCGACATCACTTATTGAACCATGGCTTCCAGTATGCCAAAGACTTGTTTAAGTCTTTCTAGCATTCACTATACGAACAACAATAATCTTACAACTATCCAGTTATATAAACTTATGAAGTAATTCCAATAGCTGCCTGCCAAGGATGAGTATAGATATTGTGCTCCAGTCGTTTTTTTCTGAAAATAATTTACAATTCGATAGTGTTAAGTTTATACCATTCCTACAGACACTGTGAACTGATTGAATGGGTTTTAGATAGCTTCCATTGTCACCTGAAGTACACTTCTAATCAAACAAAAAACTCAGGCGATACTTATCACATGAAGTTAATTAAGGTTCATATAAAACGATTTGTAGGAATACGGTTTACTGATTTTAGTACTTAAATATCAACTAATAGATGTGGTTTACAGTTTCAAATGCGAACATATGTGTAAACGCTGAAATACATTTTTATTCTTATTCAATAACGATAAAGTAGTAACGAAAATGAAGGATCTCCCATTGAATATTTTGCGACAAAAAACTTACCACGACTAATAGATGGTCTGCTGACTTGCTTTACACGTGGTCTGAGTCCTGTAACTGGTCGATTTCCACCTTTGTCTTCGTGTTTATTGTTCATATTATCATTTGATTTGTATCCTTTAGACGATGATTTGGTTGAAGTTTCAGTTAAATTCCTATGACTGGCTTTCTTCACTTTATCACTCGAATTCTTCTTATCATGACATGATGCTGTGTGTGTATGTCGTGTGGAATGTTCCATATTGCGACTACTACTCCCTTCAGAACCATTACTTACCTCAGAGGAAGCTCTGCTTCGACGTCCACCGCTCATGAAGCCTAAGTAGCCATCATAATCATCCAGGAAACGATGCTATTCGAAAGAAGGTATAAATTTTGGCATTAAACGGGTGATAAAAAAAAATAATTGAAAAAAATTAGTGCCTAATAGAATATAAATTAGTTGAGTTAACGATTCCTTGAATCACGATAATTATTGGTATGATCAAGTTCCATATCACTGGACCTGATAATTAGAGGAAGCTTCTTCAACCCACTTGAGCCGCTGGCAGCAAGAAGTCTGGTATGAGTGAAACAGTTTGTGAAGTTGATGAGATACCAAAAATAACATCTATCGATGTATTGCGTGATGGACACAGTTCTTTAGTGAACAGTCCAACTGGTCTGCTGCACCAGCAACATCGATCAGACTGTCCTTTCCTACATAACCGGTGTTCAACCCAAAGAGGAGGAAGTCAGAGATGAACTCCAACCCCAAAAGCGCCACAAATCACTAGGTCCGAACGACTTATCTCAAGTGCTTTTTCAGGACGGTGGCGACCTTCTGATCATGGAACCGAGTTGTTTGCAAGCGCTTGAGAATTAGAGAGTTCTAATGTCGCGGAATGAAACGATAATATCGCCTATCTTTAAAAAAGGTTTACATCGTTTCTGTAACAACTATCGGGGGATAATTATACTTACTATTGCGTCTAAGCTAATGGCTTCTGTCATACTTCCTAGATTATTCAAAACCAAAGAAAAATTGACTCGCGAAGAGCAGGCTGGATTTCGTTTTGGTCGAGGATGTATTGATCATATCTTCACCCTCCGCCAAATGTTAGAACGCCGTCATACTTATCACAGGCGAACAATCGTAGTGTCTCTTGATATCAGGGCTGCCTTTAATTCGTTGGACAGGACTGTTCTCTGGGATTGTCTATTGAAGAAGGGTATGCCTGAGAAGTTTATTAACACCCTAAAAGCCCTATATACAAACACCTCAGGTAGAGTGAGGGCATACAACCACCTGTCTCCACTGTTCCATTCAAGCAGTGGGTTAGACAGGGTTGCCCAATCTCACCATTCCTCTTTCACTTTGCCATCAATGACATTCTGGAAACAGCTCTGATAGAAGTAGGTAAGATCTGTGATCCGGAGAAAGACTTTCCTACCTTGAGTGTGGGAATGATACTATTATTTATATTTATATTTATTTGAACACGTAAATATTGGTACAAACGGGCACTGAACATATATGCACCACACAAGTCACTTGATTTGTGTGTGGGCTGTGATACTGCCCGGGTGCCCAGACCGATGCAGGTAGTTTTCTCAGGGATCCATACCCGGAGCCTTCGACCTAAAAGTCTGATCTACAAGGCAGTGGAACAACGTGAGGAGATACAATCCTATGGTAGCCGGTGACCAACGACTGATTCATATGCCATTTGTTACCTCAGGGTACTGGAGCTCATGGAGTCAGGGTTTTCCAACTCCCCTAAGTGTCACCTCTGTGTCCACCAACCCGGTTAAAACCCCGGACATCCGCTTTTCGTCCTCTCACTTTTGTAAACAACACTCCCGCCACGAGAAGGCAGTGAGTAGGACTTCCGTGACATTAGCTGTATACGCGTAGCCATGTGAGAGCATTTAGAGAGGAAGAGCGAACTCTGCCCACCATTGGCCGTATCAGGGCATGCACTTTGTGCTTAATCAGTTGCCAATCAGTGTCTGTAGGTATGGGATATGATTTGCACCTTCTAAGTGTACATTACCTTCAAACGACTGGAAGGAGTCCGTGTCTGCACTATTGGTAGTGGGGAGTTAGAAATAGTCGAAAAGTTCGTGAATCTGGGTAGCCGAGTAAGTGCTAGTGGTGGTGTGAGTGACGGGATCAATCTACATATAGTAAAGGTCAGAGCAGTTTATGCCAATCTGGGCCATCTTTGACCCCTTCGTAATGTTAGTCTGGTTGTAAAAAATAAAGTTTACGATGAGTCGATGAGAGCGGTCGTGCAGCACGTTTGTGAGACCTTGTATCTACGAGTCGAAGATGTTAAGCGACTCACGGTGTTTGACCAATGCTGTCTCAAAAGGATTGCTGACATTCCGTGGCGACATTATCTTAGTAGTGGACATGTTTCGAGAAATCGGTTTGAGCAAAGTGACGATAATCAAATCAGTGTCATTATCTTAAAACACCGACTTCAGTGGCTTGGATATGTTCTACGAGTGTGATCTCAAAAAATTTCGCATCGTGCATTATTTGCTGACGCTGGAACTGGTTGAAAAAATCAGAGGTGGTTATTTGGTCACATAGTGTTGTGGCATGAAAGAAATTCATGCAGGACTGATAACCGTGGGTTCTTCACGACTCCCTGGTTGGAAACGTTACCAGGAATGGCTCCGAATAAAAGCCAGTAGCGGTCAAACCTTTACTTTTTTGTTTTCATATAAGTGAGAGGAACCTATTTAACTGGAAGAATTCCCCCTTATTGGCTTTCTATGGATTTAACTGCTTCTCCCATAAATTTTTCTACCCGGCGGTTGCTGCTATCTTGACGGAATGGTCAGGCTTGCCTATCGTAATGAACCAAACTATTCTGGCTGGACCAATCGTACCTCAAGGTCCTAACATGACATACAGGTCGGTTGAAGAGCCGTAAGACTAAAGACAGCTAACTCAAGATCCGAGGGTGAAGTCGTACTGCTGTCTGTACAGAGGTGTGACGGCAGTAAGGTGTTTCCTTCAGACAACCAGCATAACAACGATGTTGCATTCCCACAAGGGAGGATGGGGTTCGAAAAGGTCGACCCTATGAACTCCCACCCCACCTTATCCCACGAATTTCCGTCTCCGGCGGTAAGGTCTCAACAAATACGGAGCTAACACGAAGACTACTCACATAAAGGTCGTGTGTGACCGGCCACAAGCATTTTCCGCTTGGGCGGTGCGGTCACGCTCTCAGGTCACTAAGACCACCTCTAGCCCGATCTCCTTTTCATGTGCCTCTAAATGAACCCTTCCACGATTTGGGCGACCGGGAAACGGTAACCGCTCTCATACCTCAAACAGTACTTAAGATCACTGTATTCATAATCAATCCCCCCATTGTCTTTTGGCTAGCTTATTTTTATCCACTTAGTGTTTTTTTTATTCATTATATTCACCTTCCTTTCCCTATTTTGTCATAATCGCATTTTCTTATTGTTGCAAATGATTTGAAGCCCGTGGGTACCAATATGTACGTGTTTAAATAAATGAGCAAAATTGATGTGTACAGCTAAGTATGAAGCATATTTTAGCACAATGATCTATACATGATCACTGAGTTATTTCTGATACTATCTGACTATAAATTTGAACAAGAAACGTCTGAATTAAATCAGTAATGAATTTCCAGGATGCTGAAGTTAAGTAACTCTCCTACTTATGTGTGCAACGCCATAAAAATATACTGAAGGATAAACTTGAAAGCCAATAATTAAATATATTAAACAGAATCATAAAATCTTGTCATAATGATAACTTACATTGACTTTTAGACGACGTTTACTCCGAACAATAGGTACATCTGTTGGAGATGGACTACGTTTATGAGCTCTAGATTTGGTAAGCTTGGTCACAGTGGGAACCTGTACATCAGATTTCATTGGTGGTGTACTTGCAGAATCGTCAAATGAATTCGATTCCATATTTTTATCAGATTCATCATTTGTTTCAGTTTGCTCTTGATTATTAATATATGTGGCTTCATCAGTATGCTTGGTTTCTTTAGTTTCAAAGTTTTCCTTCGTTTTAATTAAAAGCACTGAATCCTTTTCTTCAGGTAACGTCAGCTGTATATTAGTAGTAAGATCATTTTGAACTGGCATTTCGGCTTCAGGTGTCGTTTTGTTGATCAATTCATTCGACATAATGGTTACATTTCTGTCTTCTTGTGTCACTACGGTATCAGAAAAGGACTGAATGTATGGGCTTTTGATCCCATATATCTCCTGCTGCTTGACTGAATTATTTTCCAAAACTGTCAGAGTTTCCTTAATTAAGTCATCAAGAACATCTAAACACTCATTCCGGCTTTCTGATTCATGGATATCAGGTAAAGGTTCGTTGCTGCAAGTTGGACTCGTCACCAAAACAGGAAGTTGATCCTCTGTAGAAGCTTCAGTTGTTGTGATTTCACTAAAACTCTCATTTTGTACAATGTTTGGTGACACAATTTTTTCTATATGAGGCAATGAATCAGGTACAATTAGGGTTTCATTACATAAACTTTCTGGTTCGAAATTACACTCCCCTATCGCCGTAGGTATAATAGGGGATACATTTTCGCTTACCACATTCAAAGATTTGTCATCTCCCTTTCCCAGGTCGATTTTTTCATCCTCAGGAGATAATGTAGCCTTAGCGCATGGACTTATAGCAGAAGGATCAAGTCGTTTATTAGGAGTGATAATGGTAGTCGCTGTCTCCTCAATGGTAGCCTTTAACCCATCTACAGTTTTGTTTTCGTTCTCTGATCCTAGTTTTTCATCATCCGAAGGGACTTTGTTTTTACTGCATAAAGTTCCTGCCAAAGATTTACGGGACTTCCGCAGATTCGCTTGTGCTATCGCCTCAGCGGCTCTGGCTGTTAGACGTCGTTGGCGTTTCCCAACTGAAGAGAATGTCAGATCCTCGGAAACATTATCTTCAACTACAGTCGGTAACTGACGGTTTGGATTTTTCGATTCTGTTACAGAAAAAATATTTATAGGGGTTTTACAAGAGTTTAGAAAAGACATAGTCTAAATATGATTTATATGACCGAATTTTTATCTTACACAACCAGATAATCCAGCTTTGTCATAAGCTGAAGGAAATCATACTTTTATCAAGCTTTTTCCATCCTGCTACCTATAGTATCAGGAAAGTTCTCAAGCATGATGGCATTAGAAATGAAATTTATAGGTACAGAAACTTAAGTGCAAAAACACAGATCACAAAAAGCATCCTATATATGTCATCAAAATTATTATTCTCTAGATAACCTGGTTTCTTAATCAACAGAAGTTACTGTTTCGCATTTTGAAAAAAGCATTTAAACTATTAAACGACAAAACAGATCCTTACATAAAAGGACGTCAGTTCAAGTTGTCGTGAAGTATAAAGAACGAATCAGATGCGAAAGTATTCAGTTATTAGGTGTAGGAAGGATTTGAAAGCGACCAACTTGGTCTCGTGTGCAGTTAAGGGTATGAGGGCTAGTATCACTTCCCGGCTGCCCACACCGTGGAAGGGATGCGAAGGTATTAAATAAAGGGTATATGTACGACAGTGAAAAATGAGACACAATGAAACGTTTAAGATTTTTATATAGATAAGGATTCGATTTATCTGAACAACTGTGAATAGTTTATGATCTCGTTACCTAGTGTCTGAGTCATGCAACCAAAAAATGTCAATTTATCTCACTAAAAACCTCCTTGTTATGCGTTATATGTGAATAGATGGAAAGGAAAATTAGACCATATGGATTTATCTAGTATACTAATAGAGGCTTAGTAACATCGGAGCATGACATCAGAGCTTAATCTTGTCACCCGCTACCGTATGAATGTCTCCGACTTTGCTTTACTACCTAGTGAGTTGGAATTTCAGGTTAAGGACTTCAGCATGGTCTTATTTTAAAACCAACAGTTTTCATATCTAGCACTCTGAATAAAAAAAACTAACAGACCGACCTATAGATACTGAACTAAAATCAGGCACATATATGATGAACTAAAATAAACCGCTATATTTACATTAGCAGTTATGTTTCTAGACTAGGAAGATCGAAATAGGAAGAAACTTGTAAGGGTGATGATCCGTTTATTTCTGTCCACATTACGAAAGAGTACAATCCAGCTGTAATCAATAATGAGTTCTACAGGTAGATTACAGTCTTAACAAACTACATTCTGGAGACATTGTAACGCTATTTGACGTTCAGTGTGTAGATGAATGCCAGTCTGTTAGACGGGATTTAACAACTGTTACTACAAACGACATGAACAGCGGACAGAAGAGCACTAACAAAATCACTTTCATGGAAAAATAAAAGTTTACAGTCCCCAAAAAATAACTATGGACAGGACCAAATGAGTCATCTTTAAGCTGACAGTGAGAACTTACCGATATTCCTGACTGCAGTAGACTGTTTAGAAGTGTTAGCGTGCGTTTCAATTGACTTGGGCAGTACGATGGCTTCATCGGACTTGATGGACTTTTTCCTCTCTTTACATTTATCCCTGGAACCAGAATCATTTCAAAAATAATAGCAAACATAAAATCGAAGTTGTTTGCTTAGTCAACATTTTGTGACATTATTGTTGTAAGAAATTCAAGGGTGCGGCCGAAACATCTAACGTTTCACTAACGTGATGCCGAATTGTTTTCAACCAGGTTAGACGATAAAGAGAGCAAGTGTACAGAGTCTTTGGTGAAATCTTGTTTAAATCCTATCCAACTTGTGGCTGGATGGGACATTGGGATTAAACTAGTAATATAACAGAGTGAAGTCGTAACTAAGCTGACACCACACAAAACTGGAACTTTTGACAGAACTCAAAACTGATGTTATTGTTATACCCTCTCTGAATGTGACTTGATAAGTTACATATCACACTAGTCTTACCCATGCCTCTAAAGGCTAGTTTGGACTTTGCTTGGGACGTTTGTAGGGTCCCATGCAGACTATGATTTGCTGACCGTACAACTTAAATCAAATTTAGGCCGGATCTAGCCATAATTTTTTTACAATATTGAAACCTGACAGTTGGTAGTCCTACACAGCTTTGAAATTATTAACACCTCCAAGTTTTTACCCCACATACACTAGTTATGGCACATCTGGATTTAAGGCAGTAAAACTGCTAAACAGACGGTCTCTGAAAACATGCAGAACATGTAGTAAACAACAATAAAATAGGGCGATTCTTTAAATTGATTCCGATACAGCTTGATGTCTTTTGGTGACTTTCGACAAAGAAATTCGAGATGACCATATGTTTGGAGAAAGGATTCACATAGTATAGATAAACTATTAGGCTTCACATTGATACATGGTAAACAAGGCCAACTTACAATGATGCACGTTCAGGAACAGGAGGTCGAGTTTTCTTATTTCTCTTCCTTTTTATTACAACACCACAAATAGCGGAATTGTGTTTGTTCTTCACACCATAAAGTTGAGGAACAGACTTCCAGTGTATAGGACTAAGATTCAAAGACTTAGATATCAAGGAAAAATCTATAAGCTGGTGTAATTTCGTTGTAGCGTCCTCGTCTATGTAAAATAGTGAACTATGTTGAGGAAAGCTACTCTTCCTTATCTTATCGGCAGTTGAGCTATTACCAATCTCCTTTAAAGCGCACTAAAAAAATTAGGAATAGTAAAAAATAATTGTACTTGTTGATTTTGAGATGAACTGCACACTGTATTTAATTTCGTGTCGCTCACAATTTTTTCACTGCATTCCGAAGACACCAACGTTTGGTTGTGAGCAATGTTGGAAAAGTAGACTGGTAGTAGCTTTCTTAATTCTGAGTTATTTTTGCAGAGGTTTAACCAAGGGTGACTTCGTCCACCCGGGCCTCCTCTTTTGGCCCTCTTCATCGGTAGCGCGTTTGCCGTCAAACCAAATGTGCCGCCAAAAATTTGAAATCCACTCCTCAATGAAATGATTGATCAGGCGTTTCAAACTACTTAAAAAGAAAACCTTTAAATACTATGAATGCTGTTTTGTTTCTTTTTGTGTGACCTTAAATATGAAGACTAACACTTTCGATTCCTTGTCACCTTGGTTCCGTGACTCGCTCCAAAGTTGTTCGATGATGTGTGCTGATTCTCTGTCACCACATTTATCACTCTTACCTCTCTCGTTTCCTCGATCATAAACAATTTTTCACTAGCTTTTCGCCTTTTGAATGCAAAAATACTAGATTGAGGAAATACAATCAATAAAATCCGCATCTATTTTGATTTAACGTACTTCATCCTGTGCGTCTGTTTCCTCTAAATGCTTTAAAGTTCTGACTCCTGTTGCAACATTCAAGTTAGAATGTTTCAATGGCCTTGATTTATGAGAACATATCTTTTATCATGATGTATCGTAAATAGTTAAAATTCGTATGTTTTTATAACCTCATAATTATGTAGTTACAACTATTGTTAATTACCAGTCAAAATCTTTGAGGTCATAGCTTGTGAAGTTGACGAAATAATTTCATCCATTCGTCTTTTTAACCTATATTTACAGAATTCATCTTATTCAAAGTTGTGATCATTCTAGATTAAGTTCAAATGGTTCAAAGTGATCTCTTTGGTTGTAGGATTACTCCTGTTTTCACAGAAAGTATAAATAAACAGTACAAAATCCAAATAATAAACGCTCATAAGTATTCTTTCTCTACTTAACAGGAACACGGAGCTTGAGGCCATACATTTATAGTATTTAAAGTGAATAGTTTATATGCATGGAAATAGTTTAATTGTAGAACACTCGGTTGGTCTTTTTGAAATTAAGTGAGATAGTATATGAGGGCTTCTGTAGAGAATACACTTAAAATAGTGATTAAATTGTTCAGAGAAGTTCCGCATGAGCATTTACCAAGTTCGATAGCAATATGTTCACTACAGCATACACAACCTGAGTTAGATTAAAACTTGAAGACTGCATTTCGGCTGCAAGCCTCTGTCTAAAAAATTACTAGGATGTCTTTCAAAAAGCACAGAGAGCAGATGCCCATGCAATTCCAGAACTCCATTGTTTACCATACAAACTACTTAAGAAAATAGATCTCTCTCATCTATTAAAAAGTGACCTGATTTTGATGTATGGAATACTGAGAAATAGTTTCAGACTTGATGTATCCTTTCTTTCTTCCTATCAGATCACAAAAACTCAAAGGGGACAGCAGGCGAGTACAACAATTAAGAAAAAACAAAATACCTATGTCATACAAGTTTTCACAACAAGTAATCTATTCTTGGAACCTGATACCCGGAGAAGTGATGTCCGCCCCTTTAATAAACCCATTCAAGAGACTAGACATTCTTAAAAGCTTACTAGAAAAGAACAAACACAGGCCGTATGCGTTCTGTTCTCAGCACACAAGTCTGAATCTGATGTATAGCCCAAAACTGATAGCGATGGCCCTAACTACAATATTAATTTATATATATCTATAGGCCTTAACTGACATCAAGAACTTGGCTGTCAAACCGTTTACGCTAGCGTGGAAACAGTGTATTCACACTAACCATGTGTTTATGATGCATCATATGAATGGATCTGCTCGTGATCATCGTTTTCTTTTTCTCTAACAAAAAACGTGAATTCCTGAGTCCTTATCGTAAAACTGGACAAACGCAATAGTGTAATCAAGGTTACGTTAGTTGATTTCATTCTGTTGAAGCCCTATCAATCAGTTTACAGGTAAAGAGAGGAACGCAAATCAAGTATGATTATTAATAACTTAAGTTACTGGAAGCATAATTTATCAGATGATACCTGATAGTTCGTCTAACAGCACCTTAAGAAACAAAAAACGCTTATCTTTTCACAGTTAAATGAACAAATGTCCCAAGAGCCGACACAATGATTAAAAAATATGAATAAACTTCACACAAATACTGTAACAGAAATATAGTTAGTCAATTCTTCGCTTTTTTACATTTCTTTTGTAAGAAATCACAAACCGACTGATCTATCAGCTTAAATCGTTTTACAAATAAATAGAGCATTTACTCACTATTTTAAACTAGCTCATTCTAGAAATGTGTGGCTGTAATCGGTTGTGTAATTTTGAGGATATTTGACTACTTTTCTGAAACATTCGTCTATTGTTATATCTAATATTCATAGATACAGTTTAGTCAAATAAAATCCATGCTATGAAGTAGTTCACTCCCTTTGACTTTAGGGGAACCGATATTTTTCACTATGTAAAAAAGATGTTGGCGACAAAATGATCCTGAAGGAATACGAAGGACTAGACACTCAAGAATGATTTACCTAATTTTGCCTAATCCTAGGTGCTGAACAAATCCTATTGACCAGTTTCTAATCTAGCCAATGAACTAACTGGCTCAACATCAGCCTTAAAAAGCTAGAGAATTTAAATATAGAATATCCTAATAAATGCTTTTAATTACATAAAACACTATAGCACCACCTAGATTCTTTGCAGACTTTATCAATTGAATTAGATAAGTAATAAAACTTAAATAACATAACAGTAGTTACTTTTCAAATATAAGCCATTATGCGTTCGAATTTTTTGATTCTAGTCTTATCTAGATGAAGTCTTGAAATTTCAGTGATTTTCAGAAACTTCCCTTTGTTTTAAAGAATGCAAATGACTAATCGAGATAATCTGAATATTGTGTTATTCCTTGGGTAAATATGTGAAATAGAGCTACAATTTGCTGGTGGAATCAGTTGTTAAACAGTTTCAAGTGATCTGATTCATGTATTCAACAAGTTATTTTAGATTTGATAAGGAATCCTTTTTAATTTGTCCTCAGGATAATAAACTAAAAGTTACTTGTGTAATGTCAACAATCGGTTTGGCCGCTTTTTAATTAGCACCATCGGTGTTGAAGCAAATAGAATCAAACGCATATCCTTTACCCTAGTATCAATCGAATTTCTAAAATTTACTATCCACCTTTTCCAGAAGTTCCTAAGTTTCACCACCTAAATTTATCCAAATTTAATCCCCTTGTTAACTCGAAAGTGATAATATGAACAAAGTACTCAATTATAAACGTCATTAGAAACAATTTTGTCTTGTTTATCACTCATCAAGAAATATAGATCTCTAATACAAAAAATCCCATTAGTAATCCAAAAGCCCAATACACTTAAATGAACGTAAGCTACTCGTAAGTAGCATACTTTTCTACCTTAACTTTTTGGAACTTATTTTTTTAAACCCAGAAAACTAGTATAACCCATATTTATTTCCATCATAGTTAATAGAAAGGCTTTAAAAAGTATTGACTTGTAAAGTATAACTTTGTTTATTTTCAATTGCAATTGTCTAACACCAAATAGATGGACAGTATGAGGTAGTTGTCGACCAATGTTTACGTATTTACAAATTGTATTACCCTACTACAATTCAAAATCAGTTCTATTCATATTGTTAACAAAATGAAATAGTTAGATTTACACTTATCCTATCTAATAAATAGTATCATTATATTTTTTCCCATTATTCTTTTGAAAAAACTTTTAGTGTTGGAAAGTATATAGAAAGAAATTCATCGTAGCAATATTAAATATTATTTACGGTAGTAATTTAAATGTTTCATATTTGCTTACTAAACTAATTAGTGAGCATCACAGAGAAGTCACACGACAAAACGTCTGCTGTTCATTCAATTAATATAATGTTAAAAACCTCTCAAAACACTTATTAAATCTGTTTGTAAGTCGAAACTCTTGGGGTCATCACTATTCATTTCAGAAATGAGTCATTAACGTAAACGTTAGTAACATTGTTCGAAATTTTGTAGCTGTACTCCTGTATATATGTATCTCAGTAATACATACATCTAATTTTAAACCAACAAGTTATGCATCCCAATACTAATTCATCTTCATTTCCTCAAGAACACGGGTATAATAGATAAAATGGTTGTGTAACTCATACAGTAACTCTTATCCAACCAATTAGTAAGATACAAAAATTCAGAAACCCGAGGATAATATTTTTCTGAAAATACGGTACAATCATGGAGAACAAATAAATACCAGGAACTTCAAAATCTTAAGTAGTAAGGTCTCTGAAAGTTAGTTATTCTGTCAAAGGTTCAATTTAAATAACTGATCAGAGACAAAGTTACTCCACTGCTACAGATTAAAAGCAAGAGAAGGATTTAATGAGAAACTATACCACCAATTATTGAGAATTAACTAACCGACACATCTCAATAATAACCAAATCTTCCAAAAGTTATCCTCACAATAAGATTAAAAGTATTGATAGAGAAGAAATACTGTGATGAGTAAAGAAATAAAGCAGAACATCTAGACAGGTAACTCCGCCTGTAGCTCCTCCAGGGGCTACTGCCGGTCCCAAGCCCGGGTAAAGGAGGAAAGTTGGACATGGTGTTAGCGATCCCATCCCGTAGAAAATCAACTCGCTAAAAAACGCTAACCAGAAAAAATCATTCAAACCATTCAAACTCTGCCCTGGGAGTAGAAGGAATAATTATGACGTCTCATGATGAAAGCCGAGTTCCTTCGGAAATCATGAGGCCAATGCATCTTCTTACAACCAGAGCAACAATTTTTATAGGTACATGGAATGTCCAGACAATGTGGGAGACCGGAAGAGTCTTCCAAATTGCTGCAGAAATGAGAAAATACAACCTGGAGGTGCTTGGAATCAGTAAAACACATTGGACGCAGGTTGGATAACAACGACTGTCTTCAGGAGAACTTCTGTTATACTTCGGTCATGAAGAAGAAAATGCCCCACATACACAAGGAGTTGCATTGATGCTGTTCAGAAAAGCACAAAATGCACTTATTGGATGGGAATCTCATGGACCGAGGATCATCAAAGCCTCCTTCAAAACAAAGAGAGAGGGCATTACAATGA